TGTTTCAACGACAGTTATGTATTATGTATATTATTACATTGAATGAGTATATTTTTAAAATATAGCAACTTGAATAATATAATTATATGAAAATAAATAGATATGTATCCCTCTATGTATATAAATAAATTGTATTATTCGACGCAAATTATTACATCTACCTCAAATTCAACTATCATACATATATCTTTGTGTTTATAGTCAAGTCAATAAGGGTGTGTTCGTCTATGGTTTGAGTTTTAAGTTTGGATTTTAAATAGTAAAATTTAAAATTTAAAATAGATATTTGATATAATATATATATATATAGATGTAGAAAAAAAAAATCTAAATAGTAGAAAATCTATGAAGAAAAAAACGAACCAAGAAAAACACAACTTTACCACAAATAACAATCTTATATAAAAATTTATGGGTGTATAAGTGAGTTTGTAGAGATATATATATATATATATATCTTATTTCTTCAATTTATAATTTATATTAAAGATCCATTTTCTAAAAAAATAAAATTAATAGTATTCAATAAATATCTTTTTCATTAATACCTCACACTCAATATATATATTTTTTCATATGTGGTTAGAATGTTAATTAGGGATAAATTAGTATTGTACAATTAGTCTATATAAGACATAAGCTGACAATATATATTAATAGTCAATTACATTACTTGTCGTGATTAATCTTAACACAATAAGTATATTAACATAACACATATAAAATATAAGTTCACAATATGTGGTAATAATTTACACATTATATATTACAAATAATAATTCTCTCCGTCCGGCTCTAAAGGTCTCATTTACCTTTTGCGTCATTGTACTTAACATTAAAAATATCATTATATTTTGTGTAATTTTTTGAACAAATATCCTTCTCCTAGTATTATAAGACACTAATGGAAATATTTTCACAATTTTTTCTTAATTTGTACTACATTTTGATATAATAACTGATATTCAAAAATCAACACGCAAAAAATAAATTAGACCTTTAGAGCCGAACGAAAATAGTATAACCTAAAGTGTATATTAACATAACAAAAATATATATTATAAATTGATAGTATATAACAATAATTCCAGAGTTACACACAATGCATATTAATTAAATTCAAGTAATGTGATGAGAAGTAATTGTTGATCAACACCCAACTGTCTTCATTTTTTATGTATAATTTTTTTTTTCAGTGTTTTAGTTCAAAGTTTATATATATATATATATATATATAAAATTGTGTAAATAATGTAATAGATAATTTTTTGTGAAAAAATATAATACTCTATAGTCTACTTTTTACGCGTAAATTTTAGAATATTATTTATTATTTTATAGGTAATAGCATAATAGAAGGATAAAAAAAATTTATCCTTAAATCAATTTACTTTTTAATGAAATTTATTGTAGTATTGTGTAAAATATGTGAAATTTTTTTTATTAGAGTAAAATGTATAATTATTAAAAAGAAAAAAAGAAAACAAATACATTGAGAATGGACAAACTAAAATAATAAAATGACTACATTGAGAATTGACAAAGGAATATACTTCCTCCGTCCAGCTGGGACGTCCAATTACAAAGTAACCATTTTATTAAATACCTCATTTTTTCCACAAATAACTTTACTTTACATCACATCATTAATTTTATACCAAAAAAATAAAAGTAAAAAATATCATTACACTACTTTTACCTACCCACTATAATTAAAATATTATTATTTCTTAAACTCAGCGCCAAAAGTAAATGTATATTTTTTGCTTGGATGGAGTGAGTCACTACAAGAAATTATCAATTTTGTAATGAGGTTTTTTTGTTCATAAATTCATTTTTCTCATTACTAATGATATTTGAGACAGAATTGGAGATGAAATTACGTTACGTGAACTTTATGAATGGAATTTCGTTACAAATATACTATTTTTTTTTTTTTGTAGTAAGTATTATATATATATATATTGTGAATTATGTTTATGAGCAAACAAACCATCTTCTTTTATATAGTTATATCTAAATTTTATAAGCAGCAATGGTTTATCTTTTTTTTTTTTTTTTAATGAACAAGATTAAAACTGGAATTCTATAAATAGATAAATAAAAGGATAAATTCAGATCATCTTCAAACTTGTGAGTTGAGTTCACAAATTTTAGAATACATTTGTTTGGTAGTTTGCTTTATAGGTCTGTATTTTGAACTTAATAATTTTAAATTTGAATAGTTATTTGATATAATATATATATAGATGTAATCAACCTCCAAACTTCGACATGTTGGAACATCAGTCCACTTCTATCCATTTGACATTCTTTTTCGATTTTCCTTAACAAAACCTTAAAATGTGAAAAAAAGAACTAAGAAAAAGTGATAAACCTTAATTTATTTTTTTTTTAAAAATGGACAAATTAGTATAATCATATAAAAATTCTATTTTTTACACTAAAATAAAAATAAAAAATAAAAATTGGGGGCTAGGGGCTATGGCAAAATAAGCAAGGTCCGAAAGTTCGGTTTGAGCACGGCACAAAAAAATCATGCTTGGGCCTTCAAAAGTAGGCTTGAAAATTTTCAGGCCGTGTTTGGCCTAGAACTCTAATGAACCGGGCCGTGTCCGAGCTCATAAAAATCAGACCGTGCCTGGCCCAGTCTGATTTTTTAAATTAATATTTAAATTTTAATAAATTTATATATATATATTAATATTTGAAATAAAGATAAAAATGACAACATGATTCTTGATGGTAAAGGTGGGTTGTGGGTTCAATTCTCCACTTCTACTATTCAAATATATTTTATTCTAAATTAATCTTAAGTTAACAAAATAAACAAAAAAAAAAAAAAAAAAAAAAAAAACATGCTCGGGCTGGTGCAATCCGACCGTGTTGGCTCAGCACAGTTTGAAATCGGGTTAGACTAGCCTTAGACTAGCCTGGTACAAAAAAAATCAAACCAGTCCAAATTGTCATCTCTACTAGAAACCTTGGGGTAAATTTGTATGCAGATATGATATTTTAAATTTAATATATATATATATATTTGTATAATATAAAAAAAATAATTAATTTAATAATTTTGGGCAAAAATAATAGTAAACATTGTTAAATTAAATCTTCAAAAAAACCAAATATGTCCAAGGTGCAAATATGAAAACTTGCTTAGAAGTCTTTGTAAGAGAATCATCATGTGGACTAAAGGGTAATAAATAATACTCATTCCGTCACCCAATTGTGTGTTTATTTGACCGAATACGAGTTTTAAGAAAAATAGGTAAAAATAAAATTTTTATTTTGTGGTAAAAAAAATAAAATAGAAAAAAATAGTATGTTTTTACTAAAAAAAAAAACGAAAATATATTTGGATAACAATCAAAAAAGAAAAATGAGAATATATTTGAATGTCCGAATAAAGTATTTTGTATGTTTTTTTTTTTTGTATTATTATTCAATGCATTTGTGTAAACACAAAACAAAGTTGTCTTAATAACTTTTGACATTTCATCCACATTGCATTTGATTATATATTGCTCTTAAATTTGAAAATTTTAACTAAGGGTTTGTTTGTTTTGTGTTTCAGTTTGAAGAGATTTTTCTTAATGTGAAATATAGAAAATTGTGTAGATAATATAATATTAATAAATATATGTAATATTAATATTTTTTGGGAAATATGTATTTGTTTTTTCACAAAACAAACAAACCCTAAGACTATGCAAACTTAAACAAATTGAATCACAAAACTCAACATTAGTATGATATTGTCCGCTTTGGGCTGAGCCCGCACGAATTTATTTTTAGATATTTTTCAAAATACCTCAGACTAGTGAAGTTCACTTGAGATTTATAAGGTATGAAATTTTCTTCACAACTTATAAATAATAACAAAATAATTTGAAATCAAAACAAACAAACTTAGAAGGTTTGACATTTATAATAAAAATTTAATAGATGTCCGATCTCGACCGTTCCCAAAATCAATTTTCTTAAGTCTTAATTCCGCACCACGTCACCTTAACAACCTATTAATAACTCATCTAATTATTTATTACGTGATTTATTTAACACAATTTATATAATAAAATTTTTAATATAATATATTATTTATACATTATAGAATTTTATTTAATAAATTAATTTTAATAATCAATTAAAATAATTTATTAAATAAAACTTATATATTACATTTATATTATTTTCTGATATGAATTTAAATGTGTACTATATATATATTTTTTATGTATGATTTTAGGCTAAATTGTACAAAATCCACCCGTGGTTTCACGAAATTGCGTCAAATCCTCATACTTTTAAAACTGCGTCAAACTCCTCGTGGTTTTATAAACTCCGCATCTAACCCCTCGGCGGTCGCTCAAATTGCGAATAAATTTTAGAATTTTAATTTTTAAACCTCTAAAAATTACAAATATATTAATTTTTATATATATTTAGCCTAAAAAACAGTAAAAATAAACTCTTGAGAAAAATAATTATTATTTTTAGTATATTTACTATTTTTTTTAGACTAAATATAAGAAAAATGAATATATTTGTACTTTTAGAGGTTTAGAAATTAATATTCTAAAATTTATTCACTCTTTGGACGCATTTATGTCAAATATCGTTAAATAAGGACCGCTGAAGGGGTTAGACGCAACGTTTATGAAACCACGGGAGAGTTTGACACAGTTTAAGAAGTATAAGAGATTTGACGCAATTTTACGAACAATTTTACGAAATCACACGTAAATTTTGTACAATTTAGCCATAATTCTATTGATAATTCACATTGTGATTTTTTTTTCCATACACATTTTTAGATTTTACTATTTTTAAAAAAAAGAATACTTTTTTTTACCTTATAAAGCGTTCAATGATAATATTATTTTAATTTTATATAAAATATAAATCAAATTTTGCCAAAACCAAATAAAAAAACACATCACCCATTCCTTAAATGCAGAAATATATAATATAATATATATATATATATATATATATAGTTATGGACGATCTGAATAAATATTTAAGCTCAGAACTCATAGGCAGATAATCTAATGGAGGATTTCAGTTCTGCAGATCCTTCCATTTTATTCCCAAATCTCAACCTAATTTGCAGTTTCTCCGACAACATCGCCGGCGAGCCAATTTGGCGACCGGACGCCGCCGCAGCCGGCAACTCGCCGTCTCCGGAGCTATTTGAAGAATTTACCGGGTCGGATTACCCGACCCATTTCGCGCCTTGGGTTTTGAAAACGGAGCCCCGACTAAGCTACTCGAATGCTCAGAAGTCGGCCGGACCCTACCCGGGAAATGGCATCGGGAGGAATTACAGAGGGGTGCGGCGGCGGCCATGGGGGAAGTTCGCGGCGGAGATAAGGGATCCGGTGAGGAAGGGGTGTCGGGTTTGGCTTGGGACTTACGACACCGATGTTGACGCCGCCAGGGCCTACGACTGCGCCGCCTTCAGAATGAGGGGTGCAAAGGCTATTTTGAATTTTCCGATGGAGGCGGGGCAGTCAGGGCCGCCGGAGAAAGCTGGCCGGAAGAGAAGAAGACTGGATCCATCATCGGACGGTTAATTGTGAAGTTGGATTAATCCTCACCGTTGATTAGATCGTATGCACGAAAACAGGGGTTCGAACACCTATGCAAACATGTAAATTTTCTAAATAAACTTCAGTGCTTGGTTAGGAACGTGTTCTAATGTAAATATATAAATAATTAAGGCTGTGTTCTTTTGCCTCAATTTTTCTATAGGTTTTTATTGTTCAGATTTTTTATTTTTTTAAATATCATATCAAATAAATTTTTTATATTATACTATAAATTTATTTTATATTTAAAACATCACATCAACCTCTATTTATATCATTCTAATAGTTTATATTATTAAAATAATATTTGATGAAATATTTGTGGAAAAAAAAAAAAAATTGTATACTTTTAGGGATCATAGGTAATGAAAAATTGGAAATTTTGGGTAAAGAAACCACACCCTATGTTTACAAAATATTACATACTATTGTGTCGTAAAAGAAAAACATGGTGGTGTGAGGTTGAACATATGACTGTAAGGTCATGGGTTCAAACATGTGCCACAAATAATTTTTATATCACCAAAAGAAATTTTTCATATTATTTTAAACAATCTTTTATTTTTATAATTTAAAATAATTTTTTTAAAAATTTTAGAAAATAAAAAAAAAAAAAAAAAAAGAAGATGCAAAGCCTTTTTTTTTTTTTTTTGCGTTGCGTGCAACACTAGAATTGGCGTTGCACTTTAGCAACGCAAAAAAATGGAGCAAAATTTGGCGTTAGTTGAAGACAACCGACACCAAATCATCCAACCCAGCCCCATTTAATGACGTTGGGTTGGAGATGCCCTAAAGGAAGAAAACAAGTGGTTATTGATTGGAAAATTCAAGCGAGGCGAAGTCATCCAAGCTAGTAATGAACAACAATCTTTTGATGGTGTTGAACGAGAATATAGTGTAAGGATGAGATCTAAAGTTAGTAAATATTTCCTCCGTGCCACATAATTTGTCCCTATTTTCTATTTTCGTCCATCCCACATATCTTTTATTTTTTGGAAATATAATTATACACTTTAATCGCATTTTAAATTTTAAATTTTATAATTTTTTTATCTTAATTAAACTATTTAGCTATCTTAATCTTAATTTATAATTATTTTTAATATATAATAATTATTTTTACTAATACACTTTTTAAACTCTTTTACCTTTGTACACATGTATTGACGATAATTTTAGTAGACAAGCATGAGTTGGAACTCCAGACATAGACCAAGTTGAAGGCCAAACTGAGTAAACAAGCTGGATGTTCAATGTTTGTTTGGGGGATTGGATTGGATTTACACTATTCATCCAATTTTTTCCTCTAAAAAATATCAAATCAAACACTTATTTTTCATTTTATATATTATACTAACAATCAATTTTACATTCAAAATATCATATCACACCTATTTATATCACATCATTCAACTATTCAAATTTAAAATTTTTACTATTCAAATCCCAACTCAAAATCCAAACCCCCAAACAAACACACCCTATTTTATTATTTCTACGCAATTGTTCGTCTCGTATTCCACGGCTATATCGATTACTATTTGAATTTGAGGTTTTTTTTTTTTTTTTTTTTCTTGTTGAGTAACATTATTTTTAGGACAATCAATTTGGTGTGCTCATCTGGTTTATAATTTCGAGCATTAGTAATTCATATGCAAAGATTCTGATATTGCATTTTGCTGAATTGTTCTTGAGTATTAGAACCGTAAAACAAGCAAATAATTCCCGAACTTGACTCAGTTTGATTCGTTCGAGCTCGCTAAAAGCTTGTTTGTTAAGCTAAACGAGCCAAATACAAATATAAATTTTGGCTCAACGAGCTCAAGTTTGTTCGCGAAAGTTAGACAATATTTATTTAAAAAATTAAATTAATATTTTGATATTTAATAAGTATATATATCTTCATAAATGTTATATTTAATTCTATTTTTTTTATTTAAATTTATTAATAAAAAATATAATTATTATTAATTAATTTTATTTTTTAAAAAAATTAAGTAAATAAAATAAAAATTCTTTTGACAAACCGAACACGAACAAGAAAATTACTAAATAAACCAAGCTCAAACAAAAATTTCAACTCGTATCTCTTAACGAACAAACACAAACCAAACTCAAATATGACAAATTCGGCTCAATTCGGCTCATTTACAGCTCTACTCGACACATGACGAATTTGGAGCCACTACTAATTATATGTGTGTGGGGAGAGATTGGTAGATTTTAAGTCATATAAAAGTGGCAAAAAAGATTGAGCGACTCTTATATTTTTTAAAATATTGCAAGGAATTACATGCAATGCTTTCAAAAATACAGAGAGGCTTTCATGGAGTTTATAAATTATACGAAAAAATGCTGCCGATTTTTTAAAGAGAATTATAAGCAATTTTGCCTATAAAAGTAAGAAATCGGCAACAAAGACTAGAAGAAGGTTCATCCTTTTTCCCAGGATCAATTGGGAAAACTCCAAAATTTTAAAACAAGTAGGAAAATCAATGTATAATCTTCGAACCCTACGACATAGCGCGTCTAGAGCAAATGTCAATGACAAATGAACAAATGAACAATAATCAATGATGTAGAGTATATCATAAACAGATAAAACAGATTGCATTGCAGGTCAATCGAATAGCAGCAGCATTAAAGCTCATGACTTGCAAAAACAATCGATGTAAATTTTTACCGGGGAATATACTAAAACGGTAGTAATCAAATGTGATGGAAAGTACCTGTCTCCAGTACTGCTTGTGGTCATTTTGAATCGAAGAGAGCCTGAGTCGATGCATAAAAGACGAGCAGTAGGCAGAATAAAAATTTTCCGAGAAAATGATGCACTAGCGAATTCTAGATGGATGTAATTCTCAAATTGTTGATCTCATCGATGGTCTCTCTGTTAACTCTTTCCTGCACAACTTCACAGCCTAGAAAGCTTGGTTGATTTGTGGATGCAAGAAGCCGAGCCCACATCCTATCGGTCAGTTTCACCATGTTTGTAGCTTCAGTTACCCGCTGAAAACGATACAAATTGTAAATAGAAAAACATGTCATTGCCGGACGTCAGAGAATTACGAATAAACAAAAGCAATCTATCAACGGAATTAGGCAAAGGCGACAAACAAAAGTTTTAAGTAGCATTTCCAAGGATCCCAATATCTTATTCATTCCTACAACATTTACAATTGATTAAATGTTTCGGAAAGGAGCCTACCCCGATAGGAATATAGGCATGTCTGTTGTTCACAGGTCCGACGGTGAATCCAGTAAATCCTGCCATGGCTCCGTGAACTGCACTGTGGGCAAGAAGTGTGCAGTAGATGTTGTCTGAGGCATTACTAGGTATTGCCCGAATCATGTAAGTGGGATCTGCAGAAAGAGAAGGTAATAATAACCACAGGTGAGAAGAAGCTTGATTAGTAGTGGTACGAAATATTTTACGATTTCATTGCCAACCTGCAAATGAAAACTTCCAACACTTTAAGCATATCAAGTAATATATACTATTATTCTGTATTTCACAGCTCTTTGGTGCTAATTTATAAGGTGTTTATTCAATTATAGGAAGGAGAATTGATAAAGCTAAATTGCTAAATTACATGATAAATTTCTCTATACAAAAAAGAGATAAAAAATCAATTTAATATAAATAGTGATTGCATATGATATTTTGTGGAATAAAATAGTGTATTATTATAGAGAATCGTGAGGATTGCACAATAAAGAAACTTAAGAAAATATATCAAAGAGAACAAAACCGAAAATTCATGAAAATTTTCATATTACCAATGTATTTCATATAGACTGGCATGTTGCGGGAATTTGTAAAATGGTCCTGTGGAATAATATATCGATGATCAATAGGAAGTTTCCACTAGATAAAAAATTACTAATATGAGAGAATATTCCATCAAATCTGAAATACAACATATGGATGTAACAGTCGCCAAATAACACCTGGTACAGATTGTTCAAACACACCCTTCATTTGAATATGCAGCATTGCATAAAGGAACTATAGAGAATTAAGATTGACCAGAAAATAGACACTCAGCGGCATCCAAAGTTATATATCTTCAACTTGAACAAGATCTAGCATTAATATAAAATCATATCGTAGATGCGTAGAAAGATTGCTATTCTGAAAGTTAATGGTTGAGTGATAAGAAACAATAGGACATCTAATATACATACTTCTGCGAAAAAAACCAAATACCAAGCCACAGCCAAAATTACGGATTATTTAGATGTCTCCTAACCCTATCACACCCTACTTACACTTCATGCCAACGGGGAGCTCAGAATCTAAAATATAATCATTCTAAAGACTTGCGGGTACTTTGGGGGTTGCCTAGTATGAATAAATAATATGGAATATACGAAGCAGCTGACCATATGGTTTCATTTCAGCCTTTTTTACGAACAATTCTTAACTGGCAAGAAATTCACCATGAGCTGTTAACATGACAGCGTAATGGTTGAGAATAGAGTAAACTCGCAATGCATATTGATTGGCAAGAAAGGTTCTTTAATAAGTTAATTTGAATTTTGAGCAAACAAAAGATATGGAAGCATATACGACATTATCATTGAAATACCTTGATCTTTTGTGTTAACCAGAGGCCAACATCCAATAGTAGCCTGTTCCCTGATGCATCTTTTTCATCGGTTGCTTGCAAGCTTTTCGCCAAAAATTCTTGTCCAGCACCTTCAGCCAACACAATCACCATATGCCCATTTTCTTTAATCCTCTGATCGATAAATTCAAACAGCCCTCCCTGGCCTTCCAAGTAGAACGGGGACTCGGGTATTAAGCAACAATCCTGCCACAATAACAAACTGTAAACAGGACTCCATGGCCAGCCACAAATATTTGTCACAAATGAAGCCAGTACTAATTCCGACAACTCAAGCTAAAAAGAACACATTCAACAATAGATGTCTCAATTTTTTAAATATATGCATATATAAGAATGGTTGATTAAAGAAACTTCTAGCCCCCAATAGAAATATTAAAATGATTTAAGGGATTGAAAAGTAAAAATCGTAATAGAAACACAAAGGGTATTCTATGATCTCTCACCACATCACGGCTCGCCAAAGTTGCATGCATAGCGATGAATCCTGTGCAATAAATACACACTTTAAAAGTAAGTTCACAAATAAAGGAGAACATTGCTTCCTTTGGCATAAGCTTAACGGTTTTATACCACTGTATCGACCCATAAGTTTCACGATTCCAACTCCATTTTCTACACTCTCAACTTCAACATGTGCAGCATTTATTGCTCTCTGCGCCTCCTCTACAGCAGTATCAAAGCCAAAAGATTTGTCTATTACCTGTAAAATTAAAACCAGGATATTAACAAAATAGTTCCTTGTAGGTATCATCAAAATCACAATCCAAGAACATGAAACATACATGCATCTATAAATCCGAACATCTAAAAATCCTGTTAAAAATAGACAGGTACCGAACATTGGTTACGGAAAATTCTCTCATAGGATGCTTTACCTTAGTAATCTTAAGTTCTTAACTATTTCCGGATCTAGTAAAGGCCATAATGAAAGATGTCAAATTTTACAAAGTGAAGAGCGCCATTACTACAAATAAAAATAAGATAAAAATTTAGTAGAACTTACGGTAATGTCATTGTCAATTGTTTTGGGAATTCCAGCTACTGCAACTTTCAGCCCACGCCTCTCCACTTCCTTATACATTTTCCAGTCACCATCTCAAAGAAAATGGAAAAATCAAAATAATAGCAGAGATAAATATATACTATTTCTGCAACCACCTTGTAAATTGCGGCAGCCCCTTTTTGAGTACCATCCCCTCCAATTATGTAAACCTGATCATCACAGCTATAATCAAGAATTTTTTACTCAGACACAGAATTTAGAGGGAGAAAATTAAGATATACCTGGTTTATACCGCGATCCTGAATATTGTCAACAATCTTATTTGTATCATGACCTCCTCTTGATGTTTGCAAGACAGTCCCACCACGTTTATGAATATCATTAACAGATCTCGGCATCAATTGGACAGTATTTTTAGAGTAGAACCCTCGATAACCCCCCTGAAAATGTTGTCATCATTGTACTAGCTGATCATATTTTCAAGTACATTATATTCCTCATAAAGGACAAACTTGCAGCCCCTGGCAACTTGGGCACGTCACTTTAGCTTGTTAAAGATTGAAACCATAACTTTACTATTACTATAATAATTCATAAAAGTCATAACAGGTAGCACAAATGAGAAAGAAGACACCGATGTTTCATGAAAAAAAGAACACGAACGTTGCAAATTTGTTAGTGCACGAAACAAACACCTAAATAGGACAAACCAATTATTAACTATGCATATCTAAACAAACAAACATGAGGAAAGTGAAACAATCAATATAATCGATATCCAAGTTTCAATAAAACCAAACATCTGTTATGATTTTGTTCAAAGAAATTGCAGGTTACCTGAATGCCAAGTATCTGATCTACACCATACATATTACTCAAACCACAAACTATCTCTCGTATCACCGTATTAATTCCCGGGCATAAACCACCACATGTCACAACACAAGCCTGAACTTCCTCTGGCTTGAAGTATACCTAAATTGGATAGACCAAACTTTCGGAATCAGATTTCAGTACATTTGCTATATCTACCTAAAATGCTTACTACTCCTTCAAGGAATGTATTGAACCTTCTCACGGGGCCCTGCCCGCCGAAAATGTGTCCCCCGAGGACTTTCCTTCTGGACAACAATCTGAAGAGATGAAAACATAAGACGGTTTTAATTTTACCAAATCCAAACAAAACAGGAGAGGTTATGTATCTGCAAATGGCTTTACATTTTGTGCCACCACATCTTCAGGGCTCACAAATGTCTTCCTATAGACAAAACAGTTATGCAAATAATTCAGAAAATCATGTTATTCATTCTGAGATTCAAGGTAAAATCACGAACTGCAAGTGTAATTTTCGACTTACTTGACAATGGCGTAAGCTTGGGTTTTCTTCAATGGATTGGGAAATGACTGGAACATATCAAAATCATCAAAAAGTAAAGTTATGGATACAATATGAAGCCTCAATTTCATCAACGCCTTAATGTATAAATGGTAATTTACAGAATGAAATTGGGTCGATAACCACAACACCATTACCGGCAAATCGGGGAGGAAATCAGTCAAGTGCGGAACGTCTTCCAGGACAAAATCATCGTCGTGTTCGTCTCTGTTATCGATCGCGCTGTCGGAGTTCGCGCGAGCTATGAACGCACGCTTTTGGCGCGAAATCGACTGCCGCCTGAGATACAATTGCTTCGAGTGGGAGAAATTCGCGTATTTGAATGAAGGAAGTGAGGCGAACTGCGCGGAGAGAGAGGAGGAGTTCCTCGGCAGGGAAAAGGAGTGAGAAACGGAGGAGAGAGCGATTTCCATGGAAGAGCTCGAGCTTCACCGAGAACGATGGCAGACTGGAAATCGGTGATACACCATTAGTGTAACTGCACGAACTGTACACGGAACTGCATGGTTCTGCTAGTCAAATTTTGACCAGTGAGTTTGACTTTATGGGTTGCCTCTACATTGTTGGAACTTGTGTATATGGACACATTCTTATGTGTGTTAGAAAATTTTAACCCATATTTTAGTATTCATTAATTTTTTTCTAAAAAAAATCTTCAATTAAATATTTATTTTTCATATTTTATTAAATACTCTTTCCACGTATAACTTCTTTTCTTTTTTTCGTTCCATAAAAAATTATTATGTTTTATTTTTATAAATTTATTATTTTAAATATATTTAACGAATATAAATTAATGTAATTAAATTTTTAATTTTTTCATGTATGGCAACTCAAAATTTTTTTATTTTTATCACTCTTATCCATAAATAAATATTTTTATTTTTATTTATAAATTTCTCATTTTTTATAAAATTAGTTTTAAATTAATTGTAAATAAATAAATATATTTTTTATTTATATATTATATAAAAGATTATTATCTACAAAATAAGATCTAAAATACTAACAATATCATTCATATAAAAATTAATAAAATAATATTATAATTTATTATTAATAACTTACTAATTTATATTAATCTACACTATTCAAAATAGTGTGCTCCTAACAAAATAACTCATTGTTTGCCTGCACGAAAAGAGTATTAATTTTTTATTCAAAATATTGCATAAATATATATATCACATTATATAATTATTTAAATTCAAATATTTTATTATTCAAATCTTAACCTCAAAATTCAAACTCTTTACCAAACTTTTTAGAGCAAACACAATTTTAGATGACTTCTCTCGAAGCTGCTTCTTTCATGTCACAAAATTCATTTACACAACAATGCACATTTGGAGGGTACTACTTTTTCGGCACAGCTGAGAGCAGACTGGTGCAGTAGATGTCAAGGTCATTGGTTTTTTCTTTTCTTTTTCCTTAAAAAAGACCATTGCATGACTGAAAAATTAAAATCAAGCAGTTTGAAATAATTGGTTGGACACGTGTGTACCTCGTGTGTTTTGGAGGCTGTTTTATGAATATACCACTGCGTTTGCTCTAATGATTTTTCATTTACCACATAGATTCAATTATACCATTAAGAGAATAAAAATCCATGATGCCCGTTAAATAACTTTAAAGTAGAAAGTTCAATTCTCGTAAAAATTTTACTTTGTTGTACTTCTTCTAGAGTGTGATTGTTTGGGGGTTTGGATTTTGAGTTGGGATTTGAATAGTAAAAATTTAAAATTGAAATAGTTGTATAATGTGATATAAATAGGTGTTGATGTGATGTTTTGAATGTAAAAATAATTTTAATATAATATAAAAAAATAAAAAATTAATATTTAATTTGATATTTTTTAAGAAAAATAAAAATTGGATAAATAGTGGCTTTGGGGGAAAATCCCCCAAACAAACACACTGCGTTAGCTATGCCACAAATTTGAATCCCACCAAAGGAAAGTTTGGTTCAAGACCGCACAAGTCCTTAGTTTTTGAATTTTCAATTGGCGAGGCGAGAAAGAGTACAAAGTAAACAATTTGAAAACTCATCAAAGGTTCACAATTATAGACGTTTTCCATAAAACTACATTTTCTTTTCTTGATTCCACGTATATCTATTCTCTATCTTAATTCTCTTATTCCATATCATAATGTGAGTCTATGTATAAACCCAAAATATTTAGCCCATCAAAACAATACTATGACATTTTTCTCTCTACCTTCGAGTTTTAGCAATTCCTCTAAAATTCCTTAGCTTCTAATTTCAGGTCATCCGGCAGTGCTCTTAACTCACTTTAAGTATCTCAGCCTTCTCGTTCATTCATTGCTTGCTCTTTCTCAATTACTTAGAAGATAAAGAAGATCCCTATTTGGCTTAAAGACTATGTTCTTACAATTTGACTTCCACATATCCTCCAATCTTTCATTCTTGCATATGTGTGACACCTCAGCCGACAAGCCATGCAAAGTCGAGCGTGTCGGGATTGTAAATTGACCTCACAAGTCAACACGCACCTTGTGAGACTTTTCAGGGGGTCACTCATCCTTAAATTACTCTAGAGCATCATTCATCTTCAAATTACTCTAGAGCAAACACACTTAAATCTAGAGTTCTTTCAGTAAGGCTTCTGAAAAGGAATGTGCACATTGTTAACACAGATAGTCTATTCAATTCATTTAATTTATATTCAATTTTGGATGACCTGACATCGGCTCACCCACGCGAGTTGGCTTAGCACCGGCCCAACTCCAAAGGTATTATAATATGTGACATTGTGAAATTTCTACTAATGACATGTAGAAACCCACCTATTGTTCTTAAGCTCAACGTGATAAAGTTTGAAGAGCAACTAAAAAATAAATAAATAAATAAAAGAAGAAAAAGAACTAGATGCTTTATAGCACAATATTTTCAACAAAAATAAGACTAATTTCATGTAAATTGATATATGTGATCAAAAAGAATGTTTGTGATGGTATAACAAGGCATAAAGCCAAACATGTTGCAAAGAGCTATCTTTAAGTTAAGAGACGGACTACAAAGAATCATTTGCTCCGATTGAAAACATGCTAATGGTCAAGTTGGTAGTTACTATAACATTCTTGAAACAATGGAAAGTTCATCAATTTGACATAAATATTGTTTTTTTTACATGGGCATCTTAAGGAAGAGTTGCATATGACACTCCCACAAGGTAGTAGCATCTTTTCTAAATGTTGAGGACTCTCATTTGCAGCTATATAAATTAATGGTGCATTTTCCTAAAAGTGGTGAGATGATAATTCGGCATTCTATATGGTATTAGAGTTTGGCTAGGTCTCGAGTTCGAGTCTCACCGTCCTTATTTGCAGCATATGCATATGCAAGTTTCGCATACTCCCACTTGCACCTGAGGGAGCGTGTTGGAAATTCCCTTTTACAGATGTATAAATTAATGGTTACGTTCATTATGCATCTGACACTAAGAGAGTGGTACAAAGAGTTTTTTTGTGAAAATTCCAACTTTTGGCTTCTTTCAATCCTCACATGATATTGTTAGTTTAATGTCACTATGAACCATGTCTTCATCATTTTGTTGGTCTACATCGATGACATTACTTAACAAGGATTGATTTGTTGACAATTAAGAAGATCGAGACATTTTTATATCATAAGTTCTTTATAAAAAATCTTGGGCAAGTCAATTTACTTTTTGGAATTTAGATTACATCATCCATGGCCGGTCTAATAATATCTCAACAAACATATATTGGATAAAAGTTATTCTAAAGATATAAAACTAACTTCCTCAAGAACACACATCAACGGGAAAGTTTGCCACCTCAATGTCAGCTCTTCGCCATTCGAAAAATTTCTTATATATGCTAAACTTCAAGATGCAAATATTTGCAACACACCTTTCGTAACTAGTTAGAAACTATAGAGCGCGAATGTTAAGATAATGAACAATTCTAGACTCTATAGAAATTTTTTTGGAAACGTTTATATCTCACTTTAGATAGCCAATGCACTCTCACTGTATTTTGTGATGCAGATTGGAAATGTCTCTTGATACATACAAATTTTTCACTTATTTTTACATTTTTCTTAATTCGTACCTTATTTCGTAAAAAATTAAAAAATAAACTATTGTTGCAAAATCCTCAGGAGCATCGAGCTTTGATCTATATAATTTCAAATCTTTTATAATTATCCTGCATTCTAAGTGATATGTAGATTTCAACTATCTCTCTCATTGTCATACATTGTGATATCCAATCTACAATTTTTAATTTAAAAATTTTATATACCATGAGTACAAGTTTATTATTTTAAGTTAATAAATAATCACTAATTTAACAAAAAAATTATTTATTCAATTACTTTTATTAATTTTTAATAAATTTTACATAATATTTCAATTTTATTTTGTAATTATCATACTTTTATATTACAATATTATTATTCCTTAATCAACTATTTTTTTTTATTAAATTTTTAATAGTTTTTCATAATACTTTTTTTATTATCCTCCCAATAACGAGTAATAAAAATATAAAATACATATCATTGCAAAGATAACCTAAACACTACATCACATATTAAGTTTAAAAATCATTTCCTTTTATCCTACCACATTAAAATTTTAGCTAATTCATAATCACATTTTTTTTTGTGCATACATATTGAGAATATTTTAAAAATACTTGAAATTTATAAATATTTTAAAAATTAGTAAAAACTGAGATTTGCATCATGATTGCATACATAAGACATACACTAGTAATTCAACAAATTTTTTTAATTAAAAAACTTCTTTAAAATCCAACACCATTATAAAATCAACGATTGAAACCAAATGACATGTTATATTAGTCGATCATTCAACAAATTAACTTTTGTTAGCTACACAAAAATATCATCGATAACGACGGATCGATTCTGGAAGATTTTGATCAATAGAATCAAAGTGATTTGGGCCAATTTAATATAATTTTATTAGCGTCGGGTCTAAGTATCTAAATAAGATTAATCAATGGTGGATTGTGATTAGTGGATAGAGCTGTTAAACGAACCGAGCTGTTTGTGAACTCGGTTCGGTTAAAGCTCGTTCGCGAACGTTAACGAATCGAGCCGAATAACATAAATAAGTTCGTTTGGTTAACGAACGAAGCTTTGTTCGCGAACATTCGCGAACGTTCGTTTAAATAATATATTTATTATAAATGTTATATACATATAAAATTATAATTTATAAATAAATTAAATATTAATTTAAAATATATAAATAAAATAATTTTAAATTTTCTTTATAATTTATATATAAATTTAAAAAAAAAGACAAACAAACTCGAACGAACTTAATCAAGCCTAAACGAGCCGAACACGAACACAAGCTCAAATAACAAAAAAAATCTTAACGAGGCGAGCTCGAACACTATAAAAAAGATCGAAAGTTTAACAAACGAACACGAGCCTTCTTCCCAAACGTTAAAAAACACTTAAAATTCCAAAAGAATGCAAGTCCAATGAAAAAATCACTGTACTCAATAATTTTAAATGATTAACATTTAGTATGAAATAGTAGTGGAGTGAAGTAATTGCACAATTAATGAACGAGGTACTGAGGAAATTGAGTGCATTCACAAGACAATAATTGCACAGTCAAAATGAGGAAAATAAACTTGAATAAAAATGATTGAAATTGTATGTTTTTTTATATAGTTTAAAAAATTTTAAATCGAATTTGATATTAAAATAATCGTATGACGTATGATGTGATGTTTTGTAAGAACAAAATATATATATATATATTTTCTAAAAACGCATAATCCAAATTGTAAAAACTCTATTTAAAAGATGTTCCACAACCAAATTCAGTCAATGTTTTCAATTACCACTAATATATATCCAAATTCAGTCAATGTTTTCAATTACCACTAATATATATATATATAAATATTATATCACAGAAAATTAATGTTAAAAAGTGTACAGCCAAGTTTCAATTCAGATAAAACAAATTCAAACATTCTGAATAATACATTTACATTGAAGGCAACACAACAAACAAGTATTTTGGTTCCCCAAAACTGCACTTACTTAGGGATGGATGGATGGATGAAGGGATCTCTTGTAATATGACCCAAAAACCTGTCAAACAAACACACATTTCAACATTATTTCTATAATTTCCATGTCGAAACTCAATCCGAAAATGGCATTACCTTAAATATATCGTTTTATAAGACTCATGAATATGAGAGAGCCGGCCCGGCGCTCTCCTATAGAAGAAATCGATCAATCATATGCTGTATGACATCTGCACCGTCTGAGTGCATGCTAAGGTCCTTCACCTGCAACATATTCGGGCGAGACAGAGGGCGCCATTATATGGATTCCAAAGTAAAGACTCATATGAGCTCCCGAGTAAGGGAACTGAAAAGTGATTAGTGAAGAGAAAACATTACTGTTAACTGAAATCATAAATCGTACGTATGAAATTTAAGAGCACTAATAAAACCAAACCAATAGGAATGGAACACGCGCGCGCGCACACACATATATATATATATAGAGAGAGAGGAAGGTAAATTCCATTATGCACCATGGCTTGCAGATTCGACTGTTTATTCTGAAAACTTGGGGCAAAGGGTATATTCCGACTGCAACTCAAAATAAACAACCAAATATGCAATCGTAGTTGTAATCGTGAATGTTTTATTAGTTTTAATAGATGGGGTTTTTGTATAAAATTTACATAAAGGGCTCAAGCAATTTTCTAACAATCTCCGCATACAGATTAACAAAATTCAGGTAGGCCTAAAGCAATTTCTTAACGAAATGAAAGGTTCACTGTAAAGTTTTATAAAATACACATCGGCCTCAAGTAAAATTTTTAACTAGACAGAGGAGGGTTCAATATGCAAGATTTCATATAAAACAAATAGGCCTCAAGAAGTTTCTTAACTGGACAGGAGAAAAGTGATTGTTCATTACGGAATTTACCTAAAAAGGAAAGAACTCGTTGCATCATAAACATTTTTTTTGTTTTTATTTTCTTCAGTTGTATCATACGTAACATCAATAGTATCCGTAAGATGGGAAGTTTAGAGAGGGACCTGAATAATACTGTGGGCAGCAAATTTCAGTTTGCTGGTGTGGAAGCTTACGTCAACTTTCTCCCACGACACCCGGGAGAGGCCATTCACTAATTCCTCTGCACATAGAGCCACGACAGTAATTCAATGCAAGGCAAGTAAATGCGGGTCAGAAATGCATGGAGCAGGTTTCCGTATGCCCCACGACACAAAATGAAAATCCTACAATAATACGGTCTAATTTTGGTAAACAACGAACAATAACCAACAAAATAGGTGTTTCCCATGTGCATACGGTTTTCTACAAATAAAGTTCGATTAACGTCAAGTCATAGCATTTATAGTTCCTCCAAACAAAAACAGATGCATACACCAACAAGATCCGACAGAAATTATTGCTGCGTCAATCATAGATCGAAATAGTAAGCACGACACACAGAAAATCACAAACCTTCCAGCTCATCCAGACCATCATTTCCCATTGTATGCCCGTCCTCATCCTGATCCTTGTCACACGCCTTGCAGCGCTCTTCAAACACGACATGGGGATATTTTTCGTCAACAGCATCCTCCCACTGTTAGAACACAAAATTCATATCAGCACAAGAAGAAATAATAAAGCAATCACAAGCCACAACAGTCGAGTACACGAAGAGAAGACCTTGGGCAGTTCACTGTTGCGCCTAATTGATGAAGTTCTCCACCCTACAATATCTGATCAAGAATTTATATGTTAAGAAAACAAAGTACTGGTTAGGGTTAGGAGACGATAATTCCAAACTATAAGTACTGAAGCCTAAAAAGCAAGGATACGGTCGTAGCCAACATTAGAGTATGCTACCCTGCGCTCAAAAGATCGCAAAGCAGACCTGCAAAGTTAAGTTGCGATCATCGAAACGCTTGAATAAATTTCCATGTTCAAGATTTAGCCAAAATTCACGATTCAATGAGAGAGAATGGTGAAAGTGTACATAAAACTGCCTTCTTCGTTATCTTCTAACATGCGTTTCAGCAACGGAGGCTTTCCCTCATCATCATCTCGAAGAAAGAGATGTCTCCCGGTTCTCCTAAATATTAAATGAATTACAAGACCAGCTACTCTCTCGAATGCAGGCACCCCAAAAAGAAACGGTACCTGATAGTTGCATGGAAAGTGACTTGTCATTAAAATTAAAGTGAAATCGCCAATTTTAAAACCAGTTGATATTTAAGGTTTCCAACTGAAATACAACCACCAAAGAGGATGGTTCATACCTGCTTATTACCCCTAGAACCGAGATGAGGAGTGGCAACAGTGATAAAATTTATTGGTTCAAGACCTGCTATTGTACCCTTCGACTCTTCAACACAATCATTACCTGATACTTCTTCTCCATTTCCCCTTTTTGGAGATTCGTATAACTTCCCAATAGTATATCTGGCCACGAGCCCTCCAACAGAATGTGAAACAAAGGAAATTTTCTTCAAACCTGGCTTCCTCTTGATAACTTCGACAACCTGACATTCAGATCAATGAGAAGCAAAATTATGGCGGGTTTAGAATCTACTTTTCATGAAATTAAGCCATTGCAAAAACCAACCTCTTTAGCCAATCGGTCCCCCATCACATCCACACCATCAAGAGTCAGCTTCGATGCATTTCTTTCACTGCCTGCATAATAAAAATACTCCGTCGGAAGGGACAGAAGGAAAATTCCATAGAGCACAAGATTGTATATTTAGGAATGCTTTACCACGAAACTAAAAGGTCGACGTATTTTATTAGACAAATACAAGATTATCTCAGGATATCAATAAATTCTCCCGAATTTGGATTGACAACAAAATCATATTATTGTATGCTCTCTCTCGAGTAACCTAAACAAAAATGGAAACAGCTCACAATTCTCAGGATCGAAGCATGGAGAATTTTTACGGCAGAAAATATACTTTTGTGTATCTATTTACAGTCTTGAACTCTTAAGTGGACTTAAACATTCGATCTGATACCTGAAGACAAAAATCGATAACTTTTATTTCACATATTTTGCTTATCTCAGATATGCTAAGAACAAAATGGATCTAAACCAAAAATATTGGCTAACACTGAAACGTATATGAAAATTTGGTTCAATAAACTTCTGAAAAAAGTATAAGAACACCAAAAGATGCACCGAACCATTTCGTTCGATTGGTGAGAAGAAATTTCTATCAAATCGGGCGTTGAATTCATCGGCATGTTGCCATAAACAGAATGCCACAACTTACAGTGAACATAAACTTTGTCAGGAAGCGTACGAACAAACCGCTCAGCAGCAAATTTCCAGTCCAATGCACTGCAATGTCAGAATTGCGATAAACAATCGAATCGATCAGCTTCAGAAGCAACAAAATTACAGCAATTCCACCCACAAAATTAACCGAATTTCACAAATTTCAAATTTGGGGGAAAATGGAATCGAAACCTAAGCAAACAAGAACACCAAAAAAAAAAAAAAAAAAAAAAAACACGCGATTGATTCCATAGACAACTATTACCTTCCTAGAATCCCATGGACCATAACAACGAGATGATTGACAGACGAAGCATCGGAGGCCTTGCAGCTATACAAATCCTCGCCGCCGTTCGCCGTCTCCGCCGAGCAAACCACCGCGCCTCCGCCGACTCCGTTCTCCATGTCCTCAATCTCACTCTTTTCCGCCTAATTCAATTTGCATTCATCCACTCGACAAAAGTGTAGAAATCAGGAACACGCCACTATCGAGCAACAAACTCCCATGAAAAGGCGAGAACACCTCGAAACGAAGCGCGGCTGAAGCTTTTCCCGATCGAATTGGGAAAAGGGTTTAGGGCAAAATTGCAGAGAGAGATGGAGAGAGGGAGGGCAGTTGAAATTGGAAGGGAAAAAGAAAGCAAGCAAGGAGGGATGGGATGTCGACTATGGCGTATATACGTGGCGTGGCGTGACGGTGGAATTGCTTGCAGCAGCCAAGATCAAGAAAAGCGTCACTGTTTCGGTGCGCTCCCTACGGTCCGCCGATCAAATGCATCCACGCCGTTGATTCTCTGTTTTTTGAACGGTTTGGATTTCCCCCGGCGGTGGCGCGTGGGACCCACCCACAGTCCATGCGTTAGATTGAAGATGAGAAATTCCTTGAAATGGTAATATAAATAAGATAGTTTTCGTAACGCATGTTCATTTTTTCTGTTGTATTATTTGTAAGTAATGACGTAAATTGTGTGTTTGTTTGAAAGATTTTTGGGATTTATACTCTAAAAAAAATATATATAAAATTAAATGTTTCATTCTTCTCATAAAAATGATACTATTTTTTATTTTTGTCCATCTTAAAACAAATGATAATTGTACTATATTCCTAACTACTGTTACGCATGAAATTTAAAATTATGTTAAAGAGCTAAAGAAAAAAAAAAAAAGAAAAATGGGCCTAACAATTGAGATGATTGAGATGGTCGAGGGGCATTGCGGGGAACCCAGGTAAAGTAGATGCATTTCTAAGGAAATAGTGGGTCGGAAGATCCGCAGGTCGGAAGGTCCGTAGCTCGGGAAGTCCGTGGGTCGGAAAGTCCACAGGTCGGAAGTCCGCAGGTCGGAAGGTCTGTAGCTTGGAAGGTCCGCAGGTCGGAAAGTCCGCGGGTCGATTGGTCTATAAGTCGGAAGGTTTGCGGCTGGACCAAACAAGTCGGATGGTCTATCAGTCGGGGGAGGTTTGCGGCTGGACCAACAAGTTGGATGGTCTGTAAGTCGGGAGGTTTGCGGCTGGATCAAACAAGTCGGATGGTCTATCAGTCGGGAGGTTTGCGGCTGGACCAACAAGTCGGATGGTCTGTAAGTCGGGAGGTTTGCAGCTTGACCAAACAAGTCGGGTGGTCTGCAAGTCGGGAGGTTGGCAGTCGGACCAACAAGACGGAAGATTTGCGGTCGCACCAAAAGAGCGGAAGAGTTGCGTTCGGACCAAAAGGGCAGAAGGTCTGCGGTCGGTTCAGAGAGTTGGATATTGTTGACAGTGAGCGAAAATGATACTTCGGTCGGTTGAGGGCACGTGTCAGCAGTAGAAGGGTTAGCAGACGGTTGAAAAAGAGGCATTGTAACCGTTCGGGCGACGGTTTTCAGTACCGTTTCTGAAGAGTATTTAAGAATTAAAATTAACAACTGACAATTATCTTCAATCAACTTCAACAAAAGCGAGGTCAGATTCGGGGATCACCACTTTAAACTTCTAACGTTTTAATTTCCAGTTAATTTTCTTATGTACCGGTATAGTGTTCAGAGATTCCTAATATCACACACTAATTAATCAAATTTGAGGATATTTTCATATCTTTGAATTTTACTTTTGTTTGTTGAAAAAATACATCAACGCTAACATAATAAATATCTTTATAATTTATAATATATTATACAAATACATTTTTATAACACACCATACTAATATGAGCATTTTTACCGATATGATGTTTAAAACTATTGTAAGAATATTAATGTAAATCCATAAAAATATAAGTGTATTTTTAATATGTAATGTGATCCATATTTATTATAAAAGAAAAAACTTTAAAAAAATAAAAGGAAACATATGTTTTTGTTTAGACAACAAAAAAATAGTAAAATTTATCTACGGATTAAGAGAGTATTATATTTTGTAAAAAAAATATAATTATTTAATATAATACTTCATTGGCCTCCTAATAATTGTATACGGATGAAGAGAGTCATATTTTCTGTTTTTTATTTTTAAAATATCAAAATTGTATATATATTTTTTATTAAATTAATTTTCAATTATTTTTTTTAGTATTTATAATTTTAATATATTTATCAGTAATAAAAGAAAATTATCTGACAAATAATATATACTCTCTCCGTCCGTCAAATTTATTCGCATTTTCATTTTTAGTTCATCCATTAAATTTATCGCATTATTAATTTTGACAAAGTCAACGAATCAATATTTAATTATTATCATTCATTCAACACTTATTTACAACAAATATTTTATTACATTCTCTCTTCATTTTCTTTTATTTTTAATCAAAATTTCAAAAATACCCCCAACTATCTATTATTTTTTAATAAAATATTCATTTTTCTTAAATTCCGTACCTGACTCAGATGAATTATTTTTAATGGACGGAGAGAGTATTATATATAAATAAATAATAATTTCAATTATATCAAATTTATAAAAGTAAATTTAAAAGTCGACTAAAAATATATATTAACATAATTAATAAATATTACAATGAAACATATATTAATACGTGTAAAATGAATGATTTATTTTAAGGTTGAATAAAAAAATTAGAGTAAAACAGCTATTCTAACGCAACTATTCAAAAATTAGCTTTTTAAAATCAATAAATTATTTCAAAAATTAATTTACCAGACATTGAAATTAACTTTTTGACTGATGAAATTAACTAAAATTTGTTCAATAAACTAATCGCACTCTAAACAGTTGTTTAAAAAAAAAAAAAGTGTATACATGTATATATATATATTTATTACTAACTATTAGTAACCATTTGAGGTGTATTTGTTTTTTTGTTTTTAAAATTTAAATAATAAAATTATTATTCAATTTATTTATATAAATATTACATTAAAATATTATTTAAATAAAAATTTAAAAATTTTACTTCTTGATTAATTGGAGAAAAGCTCAAATATTTTATTTTTTAATTGTTGTCTTTTTTGGACAATTAAATTTATGAATCCTCAAATTAATATATTCTCTTAATTGGTTTTTTTTTTTTTTTTAGATCATCTATATGTATTTGTTGATTTTCCAGTCGAATCTAATTTGTAAAGTATTAAATTTAAAAAAAAAAAAATTGCGACCAGAACAAAAATAATTTGTGTTTGGGACCATTTTCTTGCATATTAATTATTTTAGATTATTGAAAACAAACTCAAATAACATAACAGAGCTAAAAGAAAAAGACAAGAGAAGAAGAAACAGATTTTTATTTTTTATTTTTGTATTATTTTTTAAGAGAAGAATAGAAATAAATAAATTAATAATAATCAAAGTGCAAACAACTTATTTGTAAATAATAAAGATGTATTAATTAATTTATTTTTTTAACCAAATCAAAAAGTGTCTTCCCTTTCAACACTTGTGTTTGCTCGGGTTTAAATTTTGACTTAGGATTTGAATAGTAAAAATTTTGAATTTGAATAGTTGAATAATGTGATATAAATATGTGTTGATATGATATTTTGAATGTAAAATTGATTTTCAGTATAATATAAAAAATAAAAAATAGGTGTTTAATTTGACTTTTTTAGGAAAAAAAAAATATGTTGATGAATAGTGAAAATCTTATAAAATCACTCAAACACATACACTTGTATTTGCACTATTCCTTGTAGCCGCTAAATTCTACAGTTAAAATTCAGTACTGTGCTGACAACATATTGCAGCATAAGGTATTACTATAGACATGAGGCAACACACTACATGTATTTATATAATACAAATACATCACAAAAACTAACAATACAAGTTATAGTTTTATACAACACAAAAATTAATTTCAATACAGCACATACTGTCATACAACACACTTGTAATTATGAACCAACAAAACAAATATAACACATGTTATAGTCTTATACAACACAAATAATAATTGATTTCAGCACCACCGCATACTGTTATACAACATACTTATAATTATGAACCAACAACACCTGTCTTTACTATACACAATATGTGTTGTGTATAATAAATCTGTGTGTTGTTTATATATATTACGGGTGCTGACACTGTATTTATTTTTTCAATTCAGCATCCTAATTGTTCCCTTCAAGTTATTACTTGTTTGTTTTCCAAACAATCAAAGCTCTACCTAAAAACACATATGAGTATGTTTCTTTAGCCGAGTTTCCTCAAATTTTACTATTTGAACTCTATATTTCTCGAAAAAAAAATACATTTTATTGTAGTTTTGTTGACTTATACTTCGATCATTTATTTTTTTCTTTTAGAAAAATTATTAAATCATATATAGTTTTTTTTTTTAATTTTTTTTCTCTAAATATTTAATCATTATCCAATATTTTCTTTGAAAGAAATTAAAAAGACAATATTGTAAAGTGACTGCGAATTTCCACGTAATAAAAAAAAAAAATTCATAATTTGATTTAATCCTAATTGAAAAATAATAAATATCTTTAATATCTCTATACCCATCCCAGGCCCAGCTCAGTCCAACAGCTTGCCCCTCCTCCAAACTATCTTTCCATTTTATTTTTATTTTTATTTTATTCTTTATTTTCACATCCACAGTCGCGGGTCAGATCGGATCCGATTCGGATCCTGTAATACTCGAAACCCGACCCATTTATTTCCCTATGAAAACTAATGCGGGCGATTTCTAACCGAGGGCAAAGCTTGGATCTACACCCGAGGTTTTGCAACCGCCACGGCGAGCGCCACCGGCGAGCACCGGCCTGAAAATTTGAGGTTCTTTTAATGTCTTTTGAGGCAAGCTTCGTGTTAAATTTAATTTTATTCTGGTGTTTGAACTGATTCCTTTAGCCGAGATCATGAATCATCGTCGGCGCATTTGTGCCAAGTGAATAGTGTTCACCCATTGTTTTCCTGAAGTGGTTTTTTGAAAATCTATTCGAATTTTCCTTTTACAAATTGCCATTTCACTCCGTGATATTACTGACAGGAACTCAATTAGGAATCAGCAATTTATTAGATTTATTTCGAATTGTTCACTTAGCTTCATTAATAGCTGGTATGTTTTGAGGTTGTATTGGAAATGTAATGATGTTTTTGTGGGATTTTTTTTGCTAGAAGTTCTGGTAGAAATGTTACCAAGGTGGAGAAGAGTTTTCAGCCATATAAATAGGGTCAGTCATTTGCAGAGCAGGAATGGGTCTGCGCTGAGAGATGTAGCTGTTTCTTCATATAGGAATTATTCTAAGGTGGCTGCTGCTGTGGAGCCAAATGGTAACGATGATAATATTAAACCTGAGGTATGTGGATTTTTGAAGTATTTCTTTAACTGGAATTCAAGAACTTGGGGATTTGTTGGTTGTGTTTTGCTGGTTAGGGATGTTTTGGATTTACCTATCTATTGTGTGATGTTTTAAATGGAATTTGTATATTATGTGATGATTTGAATAGAAAAATATGTTTTTTTTATTGTGAATGAAAATTAGGTGTTTGAAAGCGAAAATAAGCCTGAAGTTTGATTTCTTGTGTCGACTTCCTAAACACTCTTGCTGTTGGGTTTGGATGTCTGTAAAGTGCTGGCTACATTATGTGCTAAAAAAGAATCTTGTGGTTCACTCAAAGTTGGGCCAACACGGAGAACATTTGAATCTTGTGAGATGTTATGAAGAGGGATTTAGGGTACTTTCATTAACACAGTAAGACATCTATATGATATACTAATCTGTAACTAGAGTGTTTGATTCGTAAGTTTAAGGTTGGGCTACATTTATATGTTTCTGTGAATATTGATAGGTATGCTCATTTTTTTTCTTTTATATGAAGGACTAATTCCCGTTAGCTTGAGGGAACTGTTACGATTGATGTTTCCTTTGTTCAGTTTGAGTAGAGCATATAGCTGTCTAATACCTTAATCTCTGTCCCTTATGTTCGGAAGCAATTTTAAGATTAGCCACATGTCAAGCATGCCAAATATAGTTGTGGTGTGTGGTGTGCATTCGTATTTTATCGCAAGTTTTTCTTTTATATGATAGCTGATGCCGACTATTGCTAAAACCGATTGATTCCTTAACATGTTCATAGTAAAACCATGTCTTCTGTAGGTGAATCTTAACAAGATGTTTTGGTCAAAGCCATGCTCATTGGCATTGCCAACTGATTCACCAAAAAGAATTGAAGATCCACACTATGAAGGCGTTAAACGATTAATGCTGAAGTTGATGCTATTCTACAGCAAGCAAAGCCAGTTCATCCGTTGGGCCAATGTTATTTACCTCCGTATAAAGTACCAAATTGATAAACCACCTATATATGATGGTTTGTTTTTTTTTTCTCTTGGTGACTTTCTGATGGGTTTTGTTCCAATGGAATTCATTTCCTTGTGTTTCTATTTCTTCATACATCTTATTAAGATTGTTAAATTAAATTGATGGGTAGAAGAAATACTTGAGATTTTAAGATGGACATCTGGTATCAATAATATGATTGTTGTTAGTTGTTTGACGTCATCGAAATCTATTGATGCTTACATGCTAATTGCTGATTTCTGTGCATGTCTTACGTATCTATATGAATTTTTGTAAGTTAAAAATTTACTAATGGCATAATTCATTTGATATGCAGCTTTTAGCCTGGAAAAGACATTTAAAACGACATTTTCATTGCTTGTGCTCCATATGTGGCTTATTCTACGCCGTTTAAAGGAAGAGGGAAAGGAAGGCGTTGAGTTGGGTCAATATTTATACGAGATATATAATCACGACCTGGAGTTAAGGGTATCCAAGGCTGGGGTGAGTTGTAGATTCCTTTCTGTTGCCTGTATAACTTCTCAATTGCTGTTTTATTAGCTTTGGTGTTAGCTCCATTTTGGCTCTGATATAATTGCTGATAAAAATCTTCACTATGTTGCATAGTTGACTGATGGGACAAAATCATACATAATACTAAAGCTTATGACATATATTTTTAACGCCATCTGTTGTCTCTCTCTGATACGGTTTTTTTGGTTAACTATTCTAGACTATCTCTAAAACTGCAGGTAAATTTGTTACTGACCAAATGGATGAAAGAATTGGAGAAGATATTTTATGGAAATATTGTTGCTTATGATGCCGCCATCGGAAAGCAGGATGATATGCAAAATGTCATCTGGAGGTACATCATTCTTCAGAAAAATTCCATTATCTGTTGGTTTGGCATGCTTTCTTCTTACCTGCCAATCTATAAAGCCATTAAGCAAGTCTTTAAAATTGCCGAAGAATTAATCAATAAAACTCGAACTTGCCAAGCTTAGCCCTTTAGTTTCACACTAGGCTATAAATCGTGATCATCTTTTCTCTTGTGTTACTATTCATATGCTGCGTTTCGTCCATTTTCATTAGGAAGTATTTTAGCTTGATGATGCTGCCATGATGAAGGGCAAGCTTAAGTCTCTGGCAAACAAATCTTATTTATGATGTTACTTTTATTAATTTATGTTTTTTTCCTTCTAATATATGTATATATATTTTAATGGTCTTTAGGAATGTGTTCTCGGATGATGGTACATCAAAACCAAGTGAAGCTGCCGTACTACCGGTGCAGGCAAGTTCTAACATCTCATGTTTCATAGAACAGTTTAATAGTAAAAATTCTCCAAAATTCCCCAAACAAACACATACATCAATATATTCAAATAATAAACACACATAATGAGTTTTAATTTTTCTTCTGTAATTACCTTCCAACTAAATATCGAATCTTCTAAATACCAATTCCAGTTACTGGGCGTAGATAGATAATGGAAAAGACAGGTTACAGGATCGGGAAATAATAATTCTTAGGGGTTTTCCTGATTTAGTTCGAAGACTCGTGATTGATTCCTAAATCCCTCAAAATTTCAGTGTTGTATCTTTTTCTACAGACCATTTTGGGTGGATATTAATTCAACCTTATTGTTCCCAAACAGCGAAAATAAAAGAACATGGTAAGATGCTCATTACTTTCTTTAAATTTCCAGGCTATGACAAGGTACATCCGCCGGGAAGCTAGTTGTCTGTCACTAACAGGTATCGATGAAAGTTTGTATCTATGCATTGATTGTGCCTTTTCTCTTCGACAGTGCTCTCATTCTCCGTAGCTGTATCTATTATTATTATTATTATTATTATTTTTTTTTTTCAAATTAAGACAAATAAATGGAATCTGAAAATCTTATAGGAGAAACAAAACATGAACATTATTATCTGTATTTGATCTCTGATTATGTGCAGATAAACAAGCCATATTTTCGGGCAACTTTGCCTTCACATTGTTGGATCAGACATCGGCTACGGATAGAGCTGCAGTGAAAAAGTAGCGCGCTTGACATTTTTCGGACAAAATAATCATGCGGCATTTATAGGTAATGAATGTCACCTTAATATTTAGTTTCAGAAACATATATGATGGCTTTCTGTTGGAGGTAGTTTTTGCTATGAATTGTGATTATTTCATTGACATACGAATGTTTTAAGATTATTATTGAGGGTGGGTTTGTAAATTATATTATTGGTGAATAAAGTTTTTATATTTGGCGAATTTTTATGAATATTATTAAAAAAATACAATATATATATATATATAAATCTAAACATAAAATGAATAGACATATAAGTTTTCATATTAGTAATGTTTTACAGTATTTTTAAAAAATAATTTGTTTAGTTTAGAGATATATTTAATTTATACTTAAAATATATTATCTTATTAATTTTTATATAATTTTATAAAAAATCAATATTCAATGTAAAGTATGATTTTTTATACTACTAACAATATTCATCAAACCTAATGTAAAAAGTGGAAACATATATGAAATAATTTTTTGTCCACTTTTAATGTATTTATTTTGTTATTTTAGTTGTCCACTCTCACAATGTATTTATTATTATTATTATTTTTTTGTAATTATATTTCTTACTTCAATACCATAAAATATTATTCTCTTTGTATGCAAAATATATACCCACTTTTGTTTTTAGTCCCGTCATTTAAATTTATTTCATTACTAATTTTGGCAAATGGATATCTAATTATGGAATGAAAGAGTACATTCTTTCTCTTTATTTATTTATTTTTTAATTAAAAAATTTCTAAAATATTTCAAACTACTTATCATTTTTTTAATAACAAACAAATAATTACATTCACGTGGATGAAAAGAGTATAAAATACTTTTATACTACCAATATTTTTATTTGATAGGATTAGAGACTATCTAGATTATAAATAAAAAGAACATAAGTATTTATGTAAATAATAAATTTGACGTACCCATTGGAAAGGGGCACATTCATTAAATAGTTGGAATGAAATTAGAAAAGGGAAAAAATATTTTTATTTTCATTAATGTAAACTACAATAATTAATTTTCGTCTCGTTAACTTAATTTTAAATTAATTAATTTTAGTGTCGTGATAGCTTATACAATACGGTCATATTAGATGATCCAGAAAACAGACTAAATTTCGCATATAATTAACATCGTTGCACGTTCATGTTTATGACACTGTAATGAATATAACTGTATTCACGCCTTTATTTTAAACATAACAATGTTCATACTTATGTTCGAGACCATATTCTAAACATGACCATGTTTTAGGCAATGTTTACATTTTTATTTTGAATATGACCATGCTCTAGGTGACGATCCTGATATGAACATGACCATATTCTAAGTCTTGATTGTTGCCACATTCTAAACCATATTTAGTTTTCTATTCAAATTGTTAATTATATATTTTTTTTTTCGTAGTACTATTTTTATCATTTTTGTCTATTCCATTTAAACATTTTTTTTTTCTATTTGAGTAAAGATAATCATATTCAAATACCAAAGTATCCTTAATTTTTTATACTTAAATTATAAACATAATATTACACATACAATTACATTATATTCAAAAGACAAAAATATCAAAATATTTTATACATTTTCATTAATCAAGAAAATACTGTTATTTTTTAATTTATTATAAAATTCCGAAAAAGTAAATCAATACTCTTATAATAACTTTACACATCATAAAATAGTCTTTAGATACAAAACTATGAGCAACAACATATTAGACTAAAAATTTTCAATGATATCAAAATTAATTTATTGTCGTTTATAATTAGAACAGAAATAATTTTTTTCCCAAATAAATATTTGGTTGGCACATTGATAGTTAGAAATCATAAGTATTTAAATATTTATATTATATGCGATATTTGTTTAATTTTGATAGAATACTACTTTATTTATATATATTGTTTATTTATGTTTTGCAGAAAAAAATAATAAAATTGATAGAATGAAAGCCAATGATTACAAAATTAAGGCAAAAAATAAAAATAAAATAATAAAAAAAAAAAGAAAATAGAGGGGAGGTGCAGTTTTTCACATGTTGAGGAACACAATGCAGAACAATCCCGTAAAAAAATCGCCCAACGACAAAATGTAGAAAAACTCTTCCAAATAGATCTTGAGTTCTTCTCCGTCAATCCGATCAATTTAAGATGATGTTTATTTTTGCTATTTTTGTTCTTCCCCCACTAATTGATTAGCTAATAGTTTAATTTTTCAGTTTAGAAGTGAAATAAACAGTTTGATTTGGATTTATGAGATTAGATTTACTTAGATTTATACTCCTTCCGTCCCATATCTATATATTCATTTACTTTTTGTACGGAGTTTTATAAATATTAGTATTATATTGGGATAAAGTAGAAATAAAAGTAAAAGAATTAAATTAACCCTATTAGTATTGTATGATATAAAGGTAATGACATTTGTGTAATATATTGTAAATTGGAAGACTATTTGTAATGTTAGGCAGATAGTATGAAGTATTATATTTTTGTTCATAAGTATTTATGTGATTTCTCATTTTAATATTTAATAATATTTGATTTAGTTAGATATTGTGACCAGATATTTCAATTAAATTAAATGTTATGAAATTAAATATTTATTGATGATCAAATCCATTATCCAATTTGTCAATTTCAATTTGTAGGTCTTAAGTTTATTTTTATTGAAGTTAATTTGTAGATTTTTTCGTAAATTTTTAGTTTCATATTTTTCTACTTCCATTTATAACTTTCAATCCCCTATAATTATATTCATATATTAAACAATCGAAAATATATATATATATATATATATTTTAATTCCTAAAGAGACAATCTTATTTCAGCTATATTATTCTCTTCGTCCCATTGAGAGATTGTCATTTTTTTATTTCCGCTCCCACAAACAAGATTACAATTTTCTAATTTAGTAGTTGTACACATAATAAATACATTTCTAACTTACAATATATTTCACTAATGTCATTATTTTTATATTACATAATACTAATTGTATTTTATTTTATTTTATTTTTTTACTATAATTTAATATAATACTAATATTTAAAAATTTATGTACAAAAAGTAAATACAACCCTTTCGATGTGACATATGAAATATATTATTTTTATTATAAAAATATATTCATTTTATTTAATTTTGCAACGAACGATATAACATAGTGCAAAAAAGAATTTACTATCTACAATTTTTTTCCAATCTCAAAATATTTCATCAAACTTTATTTAATATAAAACCAAACCAAATTTTCTTAAATCAAATTGAAATAAACACATCTTTAGTCTCAATACAAACACAACCAAAATACTGTTCTTTAATTTTAATTTTATTTAATTAATTTTTTTAATGATAAAAATCCGCAATTGCTGTCCGAAAATGCGCACCGATAAATTAAAATAATTTAATATATATATATTTTTTTGTATGGTGCAGAATGTAACGAGGAGAAACTGATTTATTTTGTGTTCACATTGAACACAAATAGCAACAAAAAAAATATATATATAAAGGACTTTTGTTGGATAATTCCTATAAATTCTCCAAAATCGACTCTAAACATGGCAAAAAAATCTCAGAGAATAAGTCAAAACTGTAACCGACTCTCTCTCACTGCAAACAGAATTAACAAAAAAAAAAAAAAAGTAAAATAATAATAAAAAAAGATACCAAATTACAAATAAACCTAATAACCATTCTAACGTGAACAACAAAGCTTCCCAATTTCATTCCGAAAATCCTCTCGATTTGATCGCCGCCGAATCCAGTAAGCTTTCTGCTCGCAAATCAGTCAGTCGTTTATCCTTTCTCGTTTAATCGGTAATCAGATTTCATCGTTTCAAATTGCTCTGTAATTTATAGTTTGATATGCACGCCATCTGTTCGATTAAATGCCTCTTAGAAAGACCACACTTGATTGCACTTTATAGTTGATTACTGTTATTTCTGCTATGATTGAAATCGTTTTCTTCATTGTATGGTGAAAATTCCATGGCGTTTTGGTGCTCTTTTGTTAATTAATTACTGCTTTTGATGTTTCTGTTGAAATTCGATAAAGTAGGATGTCATCATCAACAGCAGAGTTTGTGGCCTCACTAGATGATCTTCTGGCAAAGATTTTATTACATCTACCTGTGAAATCTCTAGTTCGATTCATGTCGGTGTCGAAGAGATGGAAATCTTTGATCACCGGCGCTTGTTTCCCCTTCCCACATTGTCCCGCCTCCGGCCGGGCTGTTGGAATGTTTTTACTTGGCCGTAAGAAAGCTGCATTTCATTACATACATTTAGATGTCCGAAACCCTTCCAACCGCCGCTTTAACGAGCTTGAATTCCCGGACGATCCTTACGCATTTTGGATTCATCATGCTTGCAAAGGATTGCTCCTCTGTTGCAGCTACGGAAAAGTTCATCTCGATCGAAGAAATATAAAACCTCCTATTCGAATATGCTATGTGTTGAATCCGACTCTGAATCTTTTCGTCAAGCTTCCGCGACCTGGCGTGACGAACGGCGTTCCGAGGTTTGTGCTTGGAGTAACTTTAGCCTTCGACCCCGCAAAGCCTCCGTATAAAGTGGTTTGCGTTCGCGGGTCAGAGTTTGCCGTAAAGCTCGTTCAAGTTGAGGTATATTCGACTGAATCTGGGAAGTGGAGTGTGGCTGGGGAACCGTTCGCGGCTGAGTTCGATTTTTGGAATGGAGTGTATTCGAACGGCGCAGTTCATTGGCTTCATAACGAGGCTGACGAGCTTTTGTTCTATAACGTCGATGAGGACAAGTTCGGAAAGAATTTGCTTCCTTGTTCGAGGAGAGGAATCAGATACTTTGGGGAGTCGAATGATAAATTTCATATTGTCGTATGCAATTATTGGAACGAAATTACGCTGATGATCTACGAGATGGAGAAGGATCGATCGGGTTGGTTTGTAAAGTACAAAGTTCATATCTTGCCCCAATTAGCTGCTTTCCGCGGTCGGGCTTATGCCAATTTGGAATTTCCGTTGATTGATGCGGACTTGGCGCTCGACTTTTCTAGCTTTTCCGTGTTACGGTTAGTTCAGGGTGAGAATCGAACTTCTTTCTTGGTTGCCAAGATTTTTAATAAGGTTGTGGTGCTCGATCTTTCGAGCTATGCTTTTCGAGCGGGGAATGAAATTGTTGGGAGCGCGCCATCGGAAGAAAATGGATTCGAAAAGATACCGGATTTTGAAGTGATAGATGAACTTGAGGAGGAGGATGATCTTTTGTATGTTCCTTGTCGCGCTTTCGAATACATCCCGTCGCTTAACATGTTTACGACTCCTCATTTGTGTTGATATATGTTTAAACTTTAAACTCATGTCAGCAATGCGCATATTAAAGTGACACAATATTGTTTTGAAACGAACTTGCTTGTTGGATATTAAGTAAAGTAGTTATATATAGTTGATTAAACATAAAAATATATTTTGAATAATTTAAAAATTATATTTTAATAAAATATATATTTAACATTTTTAGATAATAAAGTTTTATACTATATAAATGAATAATATATATTTATATATTTAAGTTTACAAATAGGTTTAAAATATAAAAAAATAAATATTATTGAAAAGATTAGAAATTTTAGCAATAACTTGTGTTGAATGACGACAATTTGCTCATTAGTTCATAAATTTGAAATAAGTGTTTTTGGCTTATTCTTCTAAAAATAATCATATTTTATAATATTTAGGTTAGCTTTGAAAAATGCTTTTAGAAGCAGAAGCAACTTTGGAAATCTTAAAAAATAAAAAATAAAAAAATATTAATTTATAAAAAAATATTTTCAATTAAAATTATTATTTTATTCTTAATAATAATAATAAATAATAATAATAAAAATAAAAATACAATACTATAATATAATATAAAAATAATTAATTTATAAATGACAGTTTAATACAAATTTTAAAATATAATTATATTATTCTTTTTAATATATATATATTATATTATAATTGAATTTAAATTTAAAATTAGAATTGAGATATCAAATTTAAATAGAAGTATATACATTTTTAATAATACTAAAATTATTAAATATGATTTATAAAATTTTAAAATAAATTATAAAATAAAATAATTTAATATTAAATTGTAATTTTATTTTTAATTTATATATTATTCTTAAATTAAAATTTTAAAATATTAATAACAAAATTTAAAAAATATATTTTTCATATTATGATTTTAAAAGATATATTTTTTATACTATAATTTAAAATCTTTGAATATAATTAATAAAATTTTAAAATAAATTATAAATATTTTATATAATACAATTATATTAACATCTCATTTTGAGTAATTTTAATAATCTAAAGTATTTTTAACTCTATTATATCGAAACAATTTTTTTTTTTATTTTATAATAAAAACTGCTTTTTAAAAATATTCATCTAGACATAAAATCGAATTGTTTCTTCTACTTTTGGCTTGTGCTTACTTTGTAAGCCAAGGGGTTAAATTTAATATTGTAGATAATTGAATATTTTTAAATATAATTTATAGAGTTTAAAAAATAATTTGTAGTGTAAAATTTATTTAAAATTAGTTACATTTTTAATTTTCATTTTTATAAAAATAAAAAATACAAATATAATTATACATAAAATTTAATAAATACATTTTGAATTAGTTTAGATAATTTAAAATTTATAAATATAATTTATAAACTTCTAAATAAATTAGAAAAGTATAATAAAAAATCTATTCACATTATTATGTTCTATTTGGTAATTTTATCAATTCAAAACACTTTCAACTTTTTTATTTTATAAAAAAAACTGCTTTTGTGATTATTCATGGCTTCTATTTGTACTTTTGACTTCTATTTATTTTTTAATCAATCCGAATCCAATATTATATTAATTTTATTATATTATATTATAAATTTATGAGTTCAAAATGTTTTGTTACAAAAGCTATTTTTTTGTTTCAAATATTGCCGTAACAAATAGTTTTTTCGATTTGGTCAATATTTTTTCTTTTGTTACGGTATTTTTTCATTACAACTACAATAATTTTATTTTAAATTTATAAAATCTAAAATAATTTAAAATAATATATCATATTTACATATATATATATATGTATGTATGTCATATATAATACATACATAATACTTAGATATTAGTGTATACAAATTAAAATTAAAATAACTATTTATTTAAAAAAAGTATTATATACAATTAAAAAATAAAAGTATTTTATTTTCAATTCCGTTTTCGATAGGGATATTATAAAGAGACTTTTTGGGCCTATTTATACTACATTTTGGTTGATGAATTAATGTGCACTTTGTGTGCCACTTTAGTGCCTGTTTGGGTGCACTTTTATGTACCATTTTGGTGCTGGTTTGGGGGCATTTTTACGTGCCATTTTGGTGTCTTTGTGTGGACATTTGGGTAGTTTTTTGGGGCACCAATTTTTCTTCATCCATTTGAGAAATTGTACTATTATAACAATTCGATTATCTAGTAGAATGCGTCGATCGCTTTCTGGTGTTGCTTCTTATCTTGCTTCCCTTCCAGCTTCAGAATTTCCTTCCGGCCATGCAACTCCAAATTCGCAGCCAGATACTCTTCGATAAGCTCCAATGGTTGAATATACTGGCTGAAGAAGAACACAAAGTATCGGCACCAAGCGACTAATTTCTCCCTCTCAGCTCCCACCTCCCAAACCAACAAATCCACCAACATATTTATAGCCGAGGAAGAAAGTAGATAAAACCCAAGGGTTTAGGAACAAACCTTGTCGATCAACCACGAAGGTGTAGGAACTGATTTCCAATTTTGAAATCGCAAAGTTTTTGGAACAACGGGAAGAGGAAAGGAATGGGGAGAACCGGTCTTTTCGATTTAGATAGGGTTTGGGAAGAGGGATGTGACGATAATATATAAATCATATATACTACTGGGTCATGGCGATTCGGGTTTGTGAGATGGGTCGAACCGGAAACACAACCCAACAATCTCCCCTTTGTTTCTGGTCGACCATAATGGTTGCATTGAAGGGCATAACAAGAGTAGAAAACATTCTAACATCATCGCCTTTATACATGCAACTTACTACATAGATATTGCAAACAAAAGCATATATAAAGCACATAGCAAACATATATGCGAACACAAGTTGTAGCACATCAATTATTTCAAAAAGTTAACATATAACAACAAAAGCAAATTTCTCCAAGGACAATATTAGGTAACCATAGCTTTCCATTCCTATAAATAACTGTAGTAAGCTATAGACACCCTCCTCAGTCTTTCGCACAGATCAAAGCTTGGAGCGTTGCATCTTTCAGTGAAGTTTGATGCCTATCCATCTTCCGGTCCCTGGTGTCGAACACAGAGTCTGCGTAGGCTGTCGAAAGGGGATGGACAGAACGTCACAAGCCATCTTTGCTAAAGTCGGGTACCTCGACCTGTTTTCTCCCCACCATCCCAACACGTCGAATTCATGGACACGGGTTGGAGGAGATTCTTCGAGATACTGATCTAATTCCGAATCCATGTGCTGTTCGCCCATGATATTGGAGAGATATATGTCAAAATCCGTGAAACCAACGCTGCACGCCGTGAATAAATCGTTAGTTATCATATCATATAAAAATAACAATTCATGAAATCTTTATCTAATGGAATAAAAGTAACTGAATAAGAGTATCAAAAGAGAAATGCAGAACATATATAAAAATATATTGAAAGTAAAACATGGCCTTGATTTTTTATTCAACTCTCCTAATAATAGATGTAAAGTGTGAAATCTTTAATATCTTGACCACATAGGTAAAACATGTACAACCACTTCACATACAGCAAAAACAATTTTTATTACTTCAAATTAAATTATGACTAACATACTATAAAAACATCTGATAGAGAAGGAAAGAAATGATTTTAGGTTTTTGTTGTATATATCTCTAGCTAGTGTATCGAACTAACCTTGAGTATACCGAAAACTAGATCCTTAACACCAAATGAACAATTAATAATATATCAAAGAAGGAAAAGAGAGAAATTATAAAAATTGACTGAAAAAGAAACACTGCAGTGATTTTATATTCGACTTCAAAATAATTGTAGAGTGTAAAAACTTCAAATTTTCTTGACCACTCAATTATAGATTTGAGAAATGTGCACATCGAAAATGTGTCGGTAAAAGGAAAAGCGAACAATTATGATAATAGATAGAAAATAAAAATAAAAATCACCTTGAGTTTAGATTAAAATCTCGAGTGTATAAAAAACGAAAAAGATAAAAAAAAAAAAAATTGATTTTTCTATGAAAATCGAGTATATCAATATATCAAAAGTGTATCGAAAACCTAGATCTAGTTGAATCGTAGCTTATAAAACTGAATTACTAACTCAATCAACACTAAATCAAAGGAAAATGAAGTAATGCATATAAGAATAGATTTATAGAAGAACATCACCTCTAGTTAAGACGCCACTCTCCAAATATTGGATATAAAGTGCAAGATCTCCGAATTCTTGAGTACTCGATTCTATTGAGGGAGAAAACAATATTATATCACTTTGTTCTGAATTATGATTGAGAATCCACAATATTATTTTATCAAGAAGAAAATAAATGATTTCTAGTTTTTGTCGAACCTCGAGTGTATCGAAAAAACCTCGAGCATATCGAAATAATATCAGATGTTTCAAAAAAGTAACTTCAATCTAATTGTAGTTAAATCTAAATGAGTGACAACATCAACAATGTATCAATAGAGAAATAGAGAACGAAAATGAGGATAGAGTAAAAAATGAACATCACCTTGTTTAGATTCGGCTCTCAGAATAATAGATGTAGAATGTGAAATCTTAGATTTCTTTGCTAGCCAATTCTAGATTTAAGGCAGGTGTGTGGTTTACTTTATATAAAGAAGCAAAATAATACATAATAAATTTATTTTAGATTATGACTAACCTACAATTGAATTTTTAAAGGGATGATGTTGACAGAAATAGAGAAACGATTTTGAGTTTTCTTCAAACCTCGAGTATATCGAAAATCTAAATAGAGAAATAATTTTTGATTTTTCTATGAACAACAAGCATATCAATAAAACCTTGAGTGTATCGAAAACCTAGATCCAGTTGAATCGTATTGTATCTAAAAAAACTGAATGAATAACAATATCAACAATGCATCAAAGGAAAAATGAGAGAATGCATATAAGAATAGATTGAGAGAAGCATCACCTTCGAGTTTGAAAGCCACTATCCAAAATAATGGATTTAAAATGCAAGATTTCCGAATTCTAGACTACTCAATCATGTAGAGGGAAAAATAATATTATATCACCTTTTGTATAAATTAAGATTGGAAATATACAATATAATCTTATCGCAAAGGAGATAAATGATTTTCCGTTTTTGTCAATCTTCGAGTGTATCGAAAGAATCTTGAGTGTTTTATAAAAGTAAATTCAATTTAATTGCAGTTAAATCAAAATGTGTACCAACATCAACAATGTATCAAGAGAGAAAAAACAAACATCACCGTGATTTTGAATTTAGTTCTCGAAATAATAGATGTAGAACGTGAAATCTCTTATTCTAGACTACTCAATTCTACGTTAGGGCGCTTTGGTTTAGCTGAAGTAACAAATCATATTTTAGAAATTTATTTTAGATTATGAATATCCCGAGTGACTCAATACGACACAGGTGTGTGTTTGGTCGGTTCCTTGCTGACTACTTATATACGGACATGTTGGGTTCAACTCAGTTAACATCTCAGATCTCGTTAGATCTATAACAGGGTTTTTCATAGTTAGTTTTTTTACTATGAAATCAAAATTTGATTAAAATTGTTTATAATATAAATTTTTTATTTTTTATTTTTATAATGAGTAAAAATAAAAAATAGTCAATTGAAATCCTAATTTTTCACTTTTAGTCCCATTCAAATTTTTTTTTTATCAAAACTAGTCCCATTAAAACACTTATTCATCAATTTTGATCCTGGACAGTTAATTCGGATCCAACATGGGCGTGTTTTTATTCCTTAATGCCAGACCTACCGCCCAGCTGAGAAGGTTGCCGGAAAGTTTTTGATCAAAATTGACATTATGAACAATTCAATTTTTCTGTTCCTTGACGAGCCGACCTCCAACTAATGTGTGGTGGTTTTTGGTGTGCTTGCAGAAATACTTGAGCTGCTCCAGCTTGGTGCTGTCAGAAATACGCCGCCACTTCCTCGAACTTTTTCTGGAGATCGAACTCTATCTCCAATTTCTGCTCGCATCGCTGGAATTGTACGGTACCGCGGATGACGGTTATCTTCTTTGAAACCAAATAACAAAGGCTGTGGATCGTTGTCCGACGGTTCGTCGCAGGCTGATGTTCAGGGTCCCTTTCCTCACCGGCTGATCTCCGCCGCGAGACGGGAGGATGGGCTGCTGCCGACACGTCTGGAGGAGAAGGCGGTGGAGAGTAACGGAAGGGGGACATGGAGAGGGTGAGCATATTGCTATCGTGATCTACGGTGGGGATGTTATAGCCTATGGCGATGGGCAAATCTGTTATGTTAGAAATTGTCTGGCTCCATTCTCAATCAAGCAAAAATTGAAAAGCACATGGACTGGTCGAAGAACATAAGAATCAGACTGTGGAACTGAAATTCCGATGAAACTCGTAGGCGTTCTTCCTCCTTCGCAGGTGGGCAGTCTGGAAATAAAAACATGGGCGTGTTCTACAGAATACGCCCATGTTGGATCCGAATTAACTGCCCAGGTTCAAAATTAATGAATAAGTGTTTTAAACAAGACTAGTTTTGATAATTTTTTTTTTTTTTTTTTAATGGAACTAAAAGTGAGAAATTAAGATTTCAATAGGACTACTTTTAATTTTTACTATTTTATAATTGTATAAAAATTGATTGTTTTGAGTCTTAATAGGATTGTTTTTTATTTTTTATTTATTATTATTTTTTTTTCCTTTAGATAATTTTATAGAATTTCAGTATTAATATTAACTTTCAAGATCGATACTATTCATTGAGTTGGGTCTGGCAAGGAACACTGAACAAATTCAAAATGGCTAAATTAACAAATAGTGGATTATTAAGGGTTTGTTACTTATCTTTTGAAACTTATTTTCACAATTTTCAATGTACTCTTATTAAAAAGAATATTTCAATAATAGTATTAATTTTGTCTAATATTTCATTTTTAATGCAAAAAAAATCTTTCAAAAAATTTCAACATTTAGAATCACTGGGTGTTTAACACTATAAAATTTTACAAATATCAAATAAATTCAATATATAATGAGCCTCTATTTGTATTGGGCCGGCAGCCCTCTGGCCGTGCATATACAGTGTCGGCCAGGTCCATGTATATATTCAGTAAAATTATGAAAGACAACATCTTATTAAACTATATGCAATAAACTAATCAATTCACATTTGTAATATTTATGATTTATATGGTACATAGTAACATTCTTCCGTAAGGCGCGATTAAACATTTCCGCAATAATCTTGTTCTCAATCCCTGACATCTATTGTTTTAATATATCTTTCTCGTTCGAAGAAGAGCATAACACTAAATCACACAGCTGTTCTTTCTCAGATTTCTGGCAGTATTTGTTAGGAAATATGCGTTTAAGTTTTTTTTGGTAAGATGTAAGCACACACTTCTATTCTAGATTAAGTTTGCAGCTATTACAAAATTTAGGACAAGTTTGCAGCTATTACAAAATTTAGGACATATCGAAAACATTAATCATGGCCACGACTAAGGAAGCAGTTCTGGCATGAAATTAAATCTGCAGTCATGCATTCATGGCTCCATTTCATAATGACACCCTACAATCTTCTAACTAATTGTGGATTGTATTCAATGCATGCCTCCAAACTGAGCTGGTAAATTAAATCAGCTGCTTTCGCTACTGGGAGACTCACAATGAGCTTCAATCGCCTGCAAAAAGAAGAAGAAGAAGAAGTCACATAAACAGGGGTAGCTGCACAAATTATACCAACAGTTGGATGATTTTCTTATTTCTTACCCAAGGAGGAATTACATCCTTTGGATGAATCGCCACATCTTGGCAGTGGATACAATACAGTCCTTGATCGTCTTCCAATGTCAATTCATGCAGCCCTTGAGCACATGTGCCCTCTTGAGTTTCTTCCTCTTCCTCATCCTCCACTTGAACAACCTGCACGCCGTGAATAAATCATTAGTTATCATATCATATAGCTTTGTGAATAATAGTAGTGCCAAATTAGTTCTCAATCCGTGTCGAATCAATTCTGGTCTATTGTTTGAATATCAAAAAATGTTGAAACTGATTGACTTTCCTCCGCAGCGCAGTTGAAGTTCAATTCTTCGAACAAGCCATCCAAGTCCTTCGCCCACTCAGCTTCTCGCTGTTGTTCTTCCGTCAGTGGCATGGCATTGTCTTCTTCGAACCGGAACTTCTTCGGAAGAGGTGCGTAGTAGTCAACTCCATTATGCATTGTTCCAGACGGTGGTCCGAGAATGGATTCTTCTAAGATCTCGGAGATGTCAAATTGTTTTGGTTTCAGCTTTTGTGCTTTGGCCCCTGTCATGAACTTTGTCATCTCCTTAAGCCAATAGGGCGTGTCATCTCCACCACCGCTGCTTCTGCTAATTCGTGGAGCTTTGGCAGCCTTACTCCGAGGAGAGTTCACTGCAGCCTTAGCCTTTCGTTTTGGAGTTCCGACTATACGCTGCCCGCAAGCCTCCACGGGCGCGCTTTCCTCTGCAGTGTCAACTCTTTTATTATTGTTCACTTTTTCCTCTTCTGTGACAAAACAAGAAAACTAAAATTAAAACATCACCTCCAAATATGCGCTCGAACATGGCAGCAATCTTATTTTGAAGGGGTGTTTCCTCCGATTCTCTTCTCTCGTCGCTAACCACAGTAGCTCCATCGTACATTCCCATTATTGATTCGGAGCTCATTATGTCATCTGTTAATTGAAATGTATCATATCTTTCAGCTAATTTGAATTCAACTAGAACAATATCAAAACATACTTTGATTATCATCAGTGCAGAGTAAAAAAAAATTAGCGAGATAAAAAAAATGATCATTTTAGTAAGAATACTTGTACTGACATTTTATTTAAAAATAAATAAATTATAACAGATAATTTATGTAAAAATAAGTATGTTGACATTCTATTTTTTTTAAGAATAATGGTATTGACATTCAACTTTCATAATTTTCATGATCATTGCAAAAAAAAAAACCAACATCTAACATAAAAAATGTGCAGTAAATTAATTTCATAAATAAGAACAAACAAAATAAAATCAGAAGTATATTTGTATTTATATTTTGAAAAAATAAAATAAAAAATCAAGATACTATAAATTTAGTCGTACATAACATATAAATTGAATATAAACTCCAATTCTTGACAAAAGATTAACTAGAATATTCTAACTTCAATTTATACAGAACATATATTGGATAGACCGGACAAGCTAACAAATTTCATATAAAAGCTATGACATATGATAACAAAAAATTTATTGAATTTGTCAAAAAAAAAAAAAAAAAATTAACTCAGGAAAATAATAAATGTCTAAAATAATTTTAAATTTTTTTACAATAAATTACTAAAAGGCAAATATTTGAATATTCTCTTTCAAATAATATCCTACAAAAAAAATGCAATGTATTCATTTTCACTATACTATATTAACTGGTAGGGTATAAATGGAGTATGGATAGATATAAAACTATAAATAAATACAAATATTAAATCCAAAGTTTTCATTGAGCTTGACCACTTTGGATCAGAACCGAGATAGACAAGACAAAACTATCTAGCATATCTTTATGCACATTTAAAATTATGAGTTCTAAAGGTTGATCAAGTTCTGGGCTACAATTTAGACATGACCGACTAAACATTTTAATTTCTTTTCAAAATTTTTTATCAAATTTAAATTTAAATATTAAAATATTGCTAACATAAATTCAAAATTTACATATTAAATATTAACAATAGTAGTTTCAAACTATATTTCAACTATTTTAACATAAAATTAAATCATAAACATAATTATGGAAGGTTTAATCCAAAACCCAAACAAAACTCGAAAGTTATATTTGATGTTCAATCCCCTTCTTGAATAATTATAGCTGAGCCCAATTAAAATATTTAAGTCTAGATTAGATATACCATATATTATAAACCTATTGTCATCATTCCAAAGATTGAAAATCTCGGCGTAATCAATCAAAATGATTTAATGAAATATCTTCGTATGCATGTTTAATGAAAATTTTACAGAGATAAAATAGAAAGAAAGGGGAAAAAAATATCCTCCAACTGAAATGATGATTATTAGATAATCCCCATTAGCATAACATATAATGCATATGCAAAAATAATAGAAAATTGGTAAAATGAAAGTAACATATGTCTTAGAGATGAGAATATACTTAGTAATAATGAAGTAATGAAACTTATGCTAATGCTTATAAAATGTTACCACCTACCTCTACTCAACGAATGTGATCGACTTTTTCTACTCCTATGTTTATTACCTGAGTCATTGGAAGAAGTAGATGGTGCATCCTGACCACTAGGAGTATATAGAACCAATGGTTGTTCACTTTGAACATCATTTGCCGATGATGCACTTCCCTCTCCTTGGTAACTCAATGATTGGCTATTATCCTATATAATAAGATAAAGATTGTTAAAAATAATGAAATTCTTTAATTAAAAAAATATATATATCAACGGCCTTATATATATCTCATTGTAATTCACGATTAGTATAAGGTAACAAGAAATTCATTATCTCCAAGGAACATGCAAATATTAAATGAGCATCTCAATCTTTCCTTTAGACCCCATTCAATATGCTTGAGTGTTGAAATTTAACAACACGATGATGCACGTGAAAAAAAATCTTTCGAACAAAATATACTCTACAATCCCAAAAAGTTACTCTTTATAACACGTAAGCAAACATCAATCTTAACTAAATAATGAAGTTTTAAATGGAGAGTAAAGCTCATGCTTTGAAATTGCTACCTTTTCAAAATCACTATGCCTTTGGAATGTAGATTTAGACTTTATTAAAACACTTCTTCTCTTTTTGTTTTGAGGATTTCATGAATATGGTTTTTTACTATATTAATCCAATGGTAGAATTCCAAAAGAGCAACATAGATGATGATGAAGTCATAAAAATCTTAAATTTTTACACCACCAAATTGATCTAAGTGAATACCCTTATGTCAATCCACAAATCACCATATATACTATTGTCATACACGGATACCACTTTAATATTCAGATAAGACACAAGTCCTTTCTTTGTAAGATTAGTTTAAATCTAATAATTAACTAATTTTTTTGTTTTAATCACACTAAATAATCGACCAATATACATAATGCTCTCTCTCTTTTTTATTCTTTTCTACAACCAATATGCATATTTAATCCTTGAAATTTACATTTTGTGTGTGGGGATTTTCTTCTCTAGATGAATTCTATGTCTATTTAAGAAATATGAGGTTCTTTCTAAACCAAAGAACATCCCATTTGTGAAAAAAATATATGTAAAATGCAATAATATTTATTATATAGGAGAGCTTTTCTCTAAAGCAGAATAACCTAGTTGTATATGATATTATTATATGCGAAATCTGCTCTAATTTTCTTTATAAAATATAAAAGGAATCAGAACAATTTTAAATGACGAGGGAGTGGCATTTCCTTTGGGAAATAATAATAAAAATAAGATTTTATTATTATTATTATTATTTTTAAATTGAAGGATTGAGCAAAATGAGTCAAAATGCAATTATACTTATAAAGAAAGCGGCCCTAAAAAATACATAAAAGTAAAATAAAATAAAATTTGATATCTTACCATTTTGTAGAAATTGAAATTTGGACAAATGATAGAATTTGTAGTGTCTTTCCTGTGCCTTCAAACTTGCCGCAAGAATACTGCAAAAATAAAATATTTACATGTATCAAGTTGATAAAAATGTCAGTTGTAGTTAATAAAATATTTTGTTTTACGTCCGCAATCTCATTGATTTGAAGTTTTTTGTCAAACATCGAGTTTACTGAAAAAAGAGAGCTCAAGCATAACAAGAAACTAGAGCTAATCGAGGCATATCAAAAACAAATTGAATAACAACAGTGACAACAATGTTTCAAAGGAAAAGAAAACACAAATCTGAAAATGGATTAAAAAATAATCACCTTAAGTTTATATCCGACTCTCCGAGATATAAATGCAGTTCGATATATCCTACTACTCACCCAATGCTAGATTTCAGAAACATATAAAGAGTCCATTTTATATAGAGAGAAAACATAAAATAAAATAAGGTCATACTTTAATTCAAATTGTGGCGGAGAGGAAAAAATAATAATAGAATCATATAACCGGGAAAGAGAAAAAAATAATTAAGTCTATAAAATTCCTATACTACCATCAATATTTTTTTGTGGTTTCAAATATAATTTTTAAATTGTTTTACCTTCAAAACCATTTAGATCTAAATGTTAAAAATAAAGCTAAATCACAACGCACCCTAGAATTCATCTATCAAATAAATAAGTACTTTTCTATTTTAACAAAATCTCATACTTAGCAATGGTAACATTTTTGAAAAAAAAATAAAAAAATTATATGCCTCGTGAATCAAGATTAAGGTTTGCTTAAAATCCTCCTTTCTCTTTTGTTTTCATGATCTCAAACTTTTTTTCCCTACAAAAACGAGGATAGATTTGGGCATTCCTTTTTTTTTTTTTTTTTCAATTTTGATACCCCAAAATTTATCCAACGAAATGCTCTTACCTTAAAGCTGTTTTGATGTTTTGAGCATAATTATTCTTATAAGTTACAAAAATCCACAGTGAATGGAAAACATAATTATTCTTATAGATTTGTAAAATGTGCACATAAAAAATGGGTCGGAAAGGGAAAACAGAACAATTATGATAATAGATAGAAAAAAATAAAATAAAATAAAAATTACCTTGAGTTTAGATTAAAACCTTGAGAGTATCGAAAAAAAACCGAAAGAGAGAAATAATTTAGATTTTTCTATGAAAATCGAGTATATCAATAAAACCTCAAGTGTATCGAAAGCTAGATCTAGTTGAATCATAGCTTAAAAAAACTGAATTAATAACTGTATCAACAACAAATCGAAGGAAAATGAGGGAATGCGAATAAGAATAGATTTATAAAAGAAACATCACCTCGAGTTTACTCTCCAAATCTGGATTTAAATTGCGAGATCTCCGAATTCTTGACTACTCAATTTTGTTGAGGGAAAAATAATATTATATCACTTTGTTATGAATTATGATTGGAAATCCACAATATATCTATAATTTTTTTTTATCAAGAAAAGATAAATAATATTGAGTTTTTGTCAAACCTCGAATGTATCGAAAGAACCTCGAGCGTATCGAAAAAATATCTGATGTTTCAAAAAAGTAATTCAATTTAATTGTAGTTTATTCTAAGTAAGTGACAACATAAAAAATATATTGAAAGTAAAACATCGCCTTGATTTTTGATTCAACTCTTCAAATTATAAATGTAAAGTGTGAAATCTTTAATATCTTGACCACATAAATAAAACATGTACAACTTCACATACGGGGGTTTTATAACTTCAAATTAAATTATGACTAGCATACTATCAAATCATCTTATATAGAAGGAGAGAAATGATTTTGGATTTTTTTTGTAACTCTAGTGTATCGACAAAACTTGACTATATCGAAAACTAGATCCTTAAAACCAAATGAACAATTAATAGTTATATCAAAGAAGGAAAAAGGAGAAAATATAAAAATAGATTGAAAAAGAAAAAACGCACTGATTCTATATTCGACTTTCTAAATAATTGTAGAATGTGAAAAGTTCAAATTCTCTTGACCACTCAATTATAGATTTGAGAAATGTGCACATCGAAAATGTGTCGGAAAGGGAAATGAAAACAATTATGATAATAGATTGAAAATAAAAATAAAAATAACGTTGAGTTTAGATTAATAACTTAAGTGTACCGAAAACCGAAAGAGAGAAATAATTTTGTTTTTTCTATCACAATCGAGTATATCAATAAAATCTCAAGTGTATCGAAAACCTAGATCTAGTTGAATCGTAGCTCAAAAACATTGAAATACTGACTGTATCAACATTGAATCGAAGGAAAATGAGGAATAGCATATAAGAATAGATTTCTAAAAGAACCACCACCTCGAGTTAGATGCCACCCTCCAAATATTGGATTTAAAATGCGAGATCTCCGAATTTTTTACTACTCAATTCTGATGAGGGAAAAAACAATATTATATCGCTTTCTTATGAATTTTGATTGGAAACCCGCAACATTATTTCATCAAGAAGAAGATAAATGATTTCGAGTTTTTTCAAACCTTGATTGCATTGAAATAACCTCGAATGTATCAAAAAATTATCGGGTGTTTCAAAAAAGTAAATTCAATCTAATTGTAGTTAAATCTAAATGAGTAAAACATCATCATTGTATCAATAGAGAAAGAGAGTAGAAAAATGAAGATAGAGTAAAAAACAAACATCACATTGTCTCGGCTCTCCGAATAATAGATGTAGAATCCACAATATCATCTTATGGCGAAGGAGATACACGATTTTCAGTTTTTGTCAAATCTCGAGTGTATTGAAAGAATCTCGAGTGTTTTGTAAAAGTAAATTCAATTGAATTGTAGTTAAATCTAAATGAGTAACAACAATGTAGCAAGAGAGGAAAAAACAAACACCACCTTGATTTTAAATTTGGTTCTCGAATAATAGATGTAGAATGTGAAAGCTCTTAATTCTTGACTACCCAATTCTAGATTTAAGACATGCGCTCACTTTGCTTTAGATAGAGTAGCAAAATCAGATTTTAGAAATTTAATTTAGCATATGAATGAATATCATCTATGGGATAATGATAATATAATAATAAAATGAGCTTTTTTATCAAACCTAGATTATGTCATAGAATTTGTTAGAAATTTTTGGGGAAAATAGTGAAATTGTCTTATTGATTACTTTTACAAAACACAAAACACAAAAAACACAAATAAAAATAACAGTTGACTCTCCACCGAAGCCGAAAAAGAGATTACTTTCCACCGGAACCTAAAACAATATGATTCCACCGGAGCAAAAAATGAGATGACTCCACCGGAGTAAAAAATGAGATAACTCTCCACCAGAGAAAAAAAACGAGATAACTCTCCACCGGAGCCGAAAACAAAATGACTCTCCACCGGAGTAAAAAATGAGATGACTCTCCACCGGAGCCGAAAATAGTTGACTCTTCACCGGAGCAAAAAACACATGATTCTCCACCGGAGCCGAAAACAGTTACTCTTCATCGGAGCCAAAAAAGATAGATCACAAACACCAAACAGATCGCACGCAGGCAACAGACAAATGGCAAATCGCAGACAAATTTCATATCGCTCGCAGAAAACAGACAAGCAACGGACAAATGGCAGATCACAGATTAGGTTTCAGATCGCATGTCAGATCGCATGCAGGCAACAGACAAGCATCAAACAGATAATAAATCGCAGAGAAGTTTCAGATCGCACGCAGGCAACCGACAGATAACAGATAGATTTCAGATCACACGCAGGCAACAGAAAGACATTGGATGGATGATAGATAGCAAATAGATTTCATATTGCACGCAGACAACGAACAGATGACATATAGCATGATCTCAAAATCACAAGATCTCTGGGTACAATCCAGGTTGAATGTACCCGGAGAAACGCGGGTTGATAGACTATATCTACGACATGAGAAAAATAGGCTCTGATACCATGTTAGAATATAAAACTGAAATTCTCTATTTCAATCATAAGAATACGTATATATTTATATTGATATACAAATTGTCTAAATAAGGTAAGAATTCTACGAATCTCTTAAATAAGACAACTACCATAAATATAGTATATTTCTTCTAAATATATTTTAACACGCTTCCTCAAACTTAAGATATGATCGAACAAACTTGAGTTTGTCAGAAATGACCGAAAAAGATATAGCCGAGATCTTCCACGTACGAATTTGAATTCGCCAAGATTGACTGAAAGTGGTGTAGCCGTCCACTGGATCATAGTCAGAAGCAGAACTCTCAACAACGTTAGAGTTGGAAACAAGACTCACTCGTTCACAACATAACTAGAGTCAAAACAGGACTAGCTCGTTCACAACAGAGCTAGAGTCGGAAACATGACTCACTCACTCTCAATAGAGTTAGAGTCGAAAATGTGACTCACAACGGCGTCAGAGTTGAAAGTAGAACTCTGTCAGTGGAGATCAAAATAGTAGAGACGGAGACGGCATGAAAATGACAGCATGATTGTGGATATAAACAAATACATCAATAAAATATAAATATATACGAGATATAACGGATCATAGAGGTACCCGGAGAGAATTTGGCTCTGATACCATATTAAAAATTTTGGGGAAAAATAGTGAAATTATCTTATTGATCATGAAAATAAATGGCCTATATATAGGCAATACAAAATAGACTCGATAACTTTTGAGATTGTCTTATTGATCATCAAAATAAGGAGCATATATATAGACAATACAAAATAGAATGGAACCTTATGTAAGTGCATCGAAAAATTAGGTTAACTCGAATTGTAGTTAAAACCAAATGGTAATAGCATAAGCAATCTATCAAAAGAGAAAAGTGGAGAAAATGATAATAGATTGAAAAATATACATCACCTTGAGTTTAGATCAGACTCTCCAAATACTAGATCTAAAATTCCAAATCTTTAAACTCTCAACTACTCAATTCAAGATTTGAGAAATATGTAGGCTTGCTTTCCGTAGAGGACAAAAATAAATATGGCTAGCATACGATTAATTGATCTGACTAGAAAAAAAAAAAAGAAATGAGTTTTTATTCAATTCCCCAAATACCTGATGTAAAATGTGGAATATTTAATATTTTGACCACTGAGTTATGGGTTTAAGAAACATGGGGAAAATTGCAAAAAAGTATCCCCTATGTATACCTCATTATCACTTTTGTTCTGTATTTATCTCGATGGCAAAATATATCTCAAATGTTTGCAAAAGTCACTATTTATATAATTTGGCCGCGCGTGATCGCGCGTGACCGCACATGGTGTGAAAGTCACGCGTGGCTAAAGGACATAAATAGCGACTTTTGCAAACATGTGGGATATATTTTGTCAACAAAATAAATATATAACAAAAGTGATAATGGGGTATACATGGGGGATATTTTTTGCAATATTCTCAAGAAACATGTACAACCACTTCACAAACAGTGGAAACAATTTTATAGCTTCAAATTAAATTATGACTAACATACTATAAAATCATCTGATGGGGAAGGAGATAAATTATTTTAGATTTGTGTTTATCTCCAGTATATAGCTGACTAACCTCAAGTTTATCGAAGTTTATATTCCTTAAAACCAAATGAAACACATTTAACAATATACGAAACAAGAAAAGAGGTCAAATATAAAAATAGATTAAAAAAGAAATACAACACCAAGTTTATATTCGATTATATAAATAATATCTATAAAAGGAAAAATGTAATATTATATAGATTTATTTTAACTAGGAGCAAAAAATGATAAAATCATTTGGCTGATCCACTACAAAAAAAAAATAGTATATTTGTAACGGAATTCCATTCCTAAAGTCCACGTAGCTAAAGTAATTTCATCCCTAATATCATTAGTAACGGAAAAAGTGGATTTAAGAATAAAAAAATCTTGTTACAAAATTGATATTTTTTTTGTAGTGTGAGAAAGAGATAAATGATTTTTAGTTCTTTTGGAAGCTTGAGTGAATTGATGTAACCTTCAGTATATCGAAAATAAAAAGAGAAATAATTTTGATTTTTCTATGAACAATGAGCTCACGAGTATATTAATAAAAACCAGAGTGTATCCAAAACTTAGATCTAGTTGAATCAAAGCTTAAAAAAACTGAATGAATAACAATATCAACAATGAATCGAAGGAAAAATGAGGGAATGCATATAAAAATTTATAAAAGAAACATCACCTCGAGTTTATATGCCTTCTCCAAATGTTTGGATTTTAAGTGTGAGATCTCCGAATTCTTGAGTACTCAATTCTGTTGAGGGAAAAAAAAACAATATTATATCACTTTGTTATGAATTATGATTGGAAATCCACAATATTATCTTTTCAAGAAGAAGATAAATTATTTCGAGTTTTTGTCAAACCTCGAGTGT